AGGTTTAGAAGGCACTCTGGCTCTCTAGGCCTGCTAAGGAGTGGCCTGCCTAGAGGAGGAGGACTTAATGAAATAATAAATAATTGCAAAGTATCTTAGAATTTCTCTGTACCAGCTGTTCATATCAGATGCATTTTCATGCAAATCCAACCCCTGTGGTCCAAAGCTACTGAACTGTTTTTAGGCAACACTGGTGACACCCACTCTGCTGATGAGGTCAAGTGAATCTCTTGCTGCACACCAAATTGTTCTATATCTATATACATAGATTTTAAAAATTGCAAATGTTGATCAAAATGCTGACAAAATAAAGTCACAGACATTTTGAACTCATTTTGTGTTAAATCTATAAATCTTTGAATTCATGAAATCATGGAAAGGGATCTTTTTTTTAAATACTAATTGTGAAACAAATGAGAGAAAGAATTGTGCCAGATTGCAAGATTCTACTTTTACATTCAACGTACTTTACAATAGAGCTTTATTTGCTATAAAATCATATAAAGGGAAAAAGAGAAGTATACGTTTTAAAAGAGAAATTAATAAAGAACATATCTTGTTCCTCCTTGTTGTGGTAGTTAAAAAAGAATTAAGCGATTCTCTCATTCACTGTGATACCATGGGCACAATCTTACTATGTCCCATTGACACAGCAAGACTGTTTGCATGACCCAACAGCCCGCAATGGGTAATTTAAGCCACAGTGAAGCTGCAGTACATGCAGCCTCCCATAACCCAGCATCTGTTTTAGGGTTATATAAAGGTAGTGCTTAACTCTGGCATAATCCATATTCCCTCAGTCTGCATGATATGACCACCCCAAAGTGAGGGTTGTATATGCAACCTGGTATCTGCAAGCAGCATCGCTCATTGCAGATTAAGTGACGCACAACAATAACTCAGTCGGGGTCTAGCAGAACACATGGGAGAAGAAAGGAGCAATAATGAGACTTTCAGAAGGTTCTGGAAGGCTCCTCCTATGCCATGGACAGATGTATTTCCACATTCAAAACTAAAAGAATGTTGGCTGACTCAAGACAATGTGTGGCATACTCCCCTCTGCAATTATAAAATGCAAAAACAATATTGTTTATATCCTTTTTGTAATTATTCTTGTGATTAAGCCCATATGATAAACTAGAAAAAAGAAAATGTTTTAAGCACCCCCACCCTTACCTCAGCGCTCTCCATCCACCCACCCCATTGTATCAGTATGCATCAGTTGCAACAACCCAAATATTGAAAACTTTTAATGAGACAAGAAAAGCAAAGTGACTTTTTTAGTCTGAGCTGCTTTCAGTGCCTCTGGAAATCCCCAAAGGACATAGAACAATGAGGAGATAGGCCCAAGTTTTAATTGTTGTATTAAAATTCTTCCAAGCTAGTACACAACCATTAAAAAGGCAAGTTAATTAAAATGCCAACACAGTTTCTTTCATACCCTGTGAAGGCTCCTATTATGTTTTCTTCTTATTGCTACCATAACTTCGTTTGGATCCAGAAGTCTCTGAAAAACTTGTGCTTATATAACACACTTTTTTCTTCTTAAAAAGGACTGGCTTCTCTTAGTTTCTCAGGTGCTACAGTGAGGTATACCACTTTTCCAGTCACAGGAACAGCCAGAATCAGAGTGCAGGCTTGTTTGGACACCATGATACCCACTTAACATTAAGCCCACAAACTACACCCTGTTCCATTTCCTGTGGAAAAGCAGTTTAGGAAATAGTTAAAACTGTGAGTCCCCTTTAAAAAGTACAGATGTGTATAACCCCAAATACTGTCTGGAGACAAAAGGAAAAAATGAAGCTCTTGCCCTGAAAGGGTGCAAATCTCACCACTCCATCTTTGTGAGCAAAGATCACTTGTACCTTTGCTTCCCCCCCTTGACAGCTTTCAAAACATGGGCCTATTTGACAGCCTATTTGGACCCTCTTTGGGTCAGTGGGTTAATACCTGCTGCACTCTGACATAACTAGTACTCCTCACTAACACTGCCCCACTGAGTCCCCATTCTCACAGCTGTGCAAGTACATCAAGCAATAAATCCACATTTTATGCACAAAATTAAGACAAAAATTTGCCACCCACTGGCAACCCTTCAAAGGTGGCACTTGTAGGGGGTGTCAAGTGCTGTCAAAATGGGAATTGTGGAAGTGCAGCCTGGGCACCTGTGGGGCAACTAGCTCTGGGACATGTCTGGACAAGTTTGGCAAGAGGTGTTCACCAGTATTGGCAAGTGGCTCACTGGCTGATTGCTGGTTCCCAGGGTGGAGTCAGTTGTCTGGGTTTGGACAACACAAAAACCATCATGAGTACAAGAACCCCTAGAACCACCCATGGGTGAGCTGAGTGGCTTGCTGCCCCCAGTCAAGCTATCCTGAAAGAATTTGACCTGTTTTGCACAATATTATGGGTTGCAACCTGCAACAGGTTTTGCGCTGTGCAAATCTAATCACCACCCAGAGTCATATGATTATCAGGTAATGACGACACAGTGGCTACTATTCTCCACCCCCATGGAGGCCAAGGACACACCGTGAAATTTGGCTAATTCTCTTCAAGGTGCATGGTTTGCCATATCACCAGTGAAGTTGGGATGGCTTCAAAGCCACCTCAGAACCCATGTACTGTTGTAGGGCTCTGGAATAGTTTCAAAGCCAACCCCTACGGCAAACTTCACCAAGGTTGGCCAATATGGCAAACTGCACACCCTGACAGTAATTAAGCAAATTGTGGGCTGCAATGCATACCTAGCACATACAAGGGTAGGGGGAAGAAACTACTTACCAATAATTGTGCAATTCTGGCCACCATCTATTTCTTGAAACACTCACTTATAAAGGAAAAATTTACCACCACCAGAGATTTACAAATGTACACTAAAACTGTTTCTAAACAGAGGGTTCATACCACTAGTAGTCAAAAGATATTGGGACAGTTCACAGTGGCTTATTTAAATGACACCATGAGCAAGGTGCACTTTCATAATCTCCACCTAAGCACAGCCTGCCATGTCATCTAAAGAGAATGGCAGCATGGCTTGTTGAAGAGGAAAACACCCCTACAGTGACCCATTGAAGAAACATGGGAGAACTTCAAATGGAAGATGTTGTCAACTGGACCCACATGTAAAACTCCAGGAAAGAGGCATCCAAACATCTCATGAATTTGCACGATAACCATGCATCTGTAAGTGTCTGCCTAAGTTTGGTTATGACCTTTCTTCATACAAAGTGTGACTGAGCCTTCTTAGTAAGGCATTTTTAATTGTGTACCAGTTTTGCTTTCCTTTTCCACAAGCCAGTCTGCATTCTGTCCATCTCTTGCCTTGGAAATTGCAACCAATATGGGTTTTACTGTTTCAAGAAAGCTATCATTCCTTTCTACCTGAAGATCACCACCATGTTACCACCCCAAGGGCATTTGAAAAGATATCTAAGGTCAGACATGGGATACAATATTGGCAGTGATAACTTCTTAATAATGGTTATCGCCATTTCTTTTTTTGACAGTGAACCTTTGCAAGTGTTGCCTTTAGGCAGTGTTTGTCTGGAAAATATCATATTAGGAGGCAGTGGTGGTTTGTTGGTTTTGTTCTGTCAAAATATCTTCAACATATGGTGATCCTATGAAGGAAAGCCCTCCAAAATGTCCCATTTGTGCCAGCCCTGCTCAGCTCTTGTAGGCTCAAGGCTGTAGCTTCCTTTATTCAATCAATCCATCTCTTATTTGGTCTTCCTTTTCTTCTACTTTTGACTTTCCCTAGCATGATTGTCTTCTCCAGGGAATCTTATCGTCCCATGATATACCCAAAGTACAACAGCTTCAGCTTTGTTATTTTCTTTTCTAGGGGAAGATCTGGCTTGATTTGATTGCAGACCCACTTGTTCATCCTTCTGTCAGTCCAGCGTCTTTGCAAAGCTCTCCTGGAGCATGGTATTTCAAACACATCGATTTTCTTCCTGTCAAGCTTTCTTCACTGTCCTCCTTTCATACCCATACACTGTGACTGGGAATACAATAATGTAGGTGATCTTGACTTAGGTCTCCAGTGAATCATCCTTACACTTGATCATCTTTTCTAGTTTCTTTATTGCTGTCCTTCCAAGTCTCAGTTGTCTTCTAATTCCTTGGCTGCAATCTCCCTTTGAATTGATGACTGAGTCACGGTATACAAAATCTTTCACAATTTCTTCATTGCTGACAGTGAAGTTGTCAGACACTAAGTTTTCTGTAGTCATGACTTTCATTTTCTTACTATTCAGCTGTAGTACTGTCTTTTGTCCATCACCATTAAAGATATCTATTCTCTTCTGTTCATGTGATCTTTACTCCTGGAAAGGGTGGATGCATTTTAGTCTAGGATCTCTGCTTTGATGGTTCTGCCTTGAGTAACCCTGCTAGGAGTGCAGCCCAAGGAGAGAGAGCTGAGAGCCCTCCCAGCTGGTTTTAGTTTCCTCTTTCACTCTCACACCCCTCAACATATTAAGGAATGCATCCAAAGGAGAGCTGTATTAGATTTATGTTTTATCAGGGTCCCAGGAAAAGTCATATTGTAAGGTTGAAAGAAGCCGATAGCTGGATTCAAGGTGGCTCAATAATATAAGAAACAAATGGCCATCAGAGGTAAAAAGGAGACATGCTTACCAAGTCAGGCAAGGATGAAAGAAATGTCAACCAAGAAGCACCCAGGATGGCTGACTTGGGCATGCTACTCTCAAAACAGTTATTGTGATGGAAAAATGGAAGACAACAGGCACACAACTTCCTTCAAGAATGGAGATATAACCATGACTGAAGAAACAACTGTAACGTTTTTGTGTATACATTTATCATTTTAGGAACTGTTTGCTTTTTATGTTATGGCTTTTTTCTGTATGTGCTCTGTTCCATCCCAGTCAGAAGTTTAACAGTTAAGTCAGAGTGTTGTCTCAGAAACTTCACAGAAGTTCACAGAGCCATGGTGACTGCAGAAGGAAGAAATGGGCAGGAAATTCAAATGAGTTCTGAAAATGGTTTTATTTGGATATAGGAGTAAGAATGCCTGCAAAAGAAAAAAATAAGTGGAACTGTAGAAAATCCAACATGTCAGATGAATGACTCAGGGATAGGAATGTACAACATTTGAAAGAGAAAGGTGGGAACAGGCTACTTTAAAGATGCAAAAATCTAAGGCAAATGGGCAAAATTCAAAGAGAGCAGGTTCAAAAAGAAAAGAACATGGAATTTGAGAAGAAGAATTCCAGAGTTCTGAAGCAAACAAAGCTGCTGTGAGTACAGAATTGAGTGATGCAACCATTATAATGAGATGTTACCAAGAAAAGCACTGAAGAAAATAGGGACAGTCTAGCTAGCTTATCCGGATGCATTTGTCCCTGGTTATTTTATTACCCTCTTGTTCATATAAATTTGTGTGCATTGTACTTGAGTATAAATTCAGAGCTGAAAAGCCTTCATTATTAGCATTTTTCTGGCTAGCCTTGGAAGGGAGGCAGCCTTTCTCCTGTCCCAAACTTTAGACATCTGATTGCCTAGCACACCATGCTCAGGGATCATTTAAGACCTGAGAGGACAGAAGATACCAATTTTCAAGCACTGTAGCATGCAGGAAAAGAATATTTCCACCTCACTTTAAGAGCACTGAGACAGAGTCATCACTATCACAGCCTCTATCTGATCTTCCAACTGGGGATGCAGTGTTGCAGTGCCTTTTGAATGATATCATCACTTGATGAAAACACATCTCCCACTTCCATTGTTACATATTGTAGACACACGTGCACACACCCAAGCTGCTCAGGTTTGGCTCTCTTACAGAGCTACGCAGGCAGTCCCAAACCTTTAAACACAAGAATGGAGTTCCTACAAACTGTGTAAGAGCTTTGGGTACAGCATGGAACAGCACTGTTTTACCTTCCCTGTGAACTGGATGGGAGAATTCAGGAAGTCAAAAGATGTGTATTGTCTGTGCATACTCTCCCAAGCCTAATTCCCAACACATCCATTTCTTGCAGTTAAGGATACTGCCAACTTGTCACAGCTAAGTCACAGGGAAGGGTGGTCAAGTAACCCAAGAAAAGTTATTCTTCCTCTGGTCTTAACTCTTCCCCTGCAAAGGGATAGTCCCCTTACAGTAGGTACCTTCTTCAATGCAGGTAAAGGCCACCATCCATGGATTGTGCTTTAGGTGTCCTGGTTCAATCTCTGGCCCTTCTTATGGAAAGGAGCAGAGAGCAGAAAATCCTGTGCCAGAGACCCTGGAAAGCTACTACCAGTCTGACCTGACAGACAACCTGTATTTCTCCCCTCCCCACAAGCCAGTATAAGCTGTTAGGTGCTCTATCCCTTTCAAAGTAACTTTGTAGGAAGGTTAATTTTGTTTAGAGGAAGCTCAGTTCAGCAGACCCGCCTCCCTCTTGTTTTCTTGCAGGCAGAATGTATTCAAATTTGGCAAAGATGCCATAGCCTGCTCCAATTACAGGAATGTGGAGTGGTGCCTGCCATCCCTCATTTATCAAAATTTGTAGGACTAAATACAAAAGCATGACATTTACTTGCCCTTGGAACATTTACTTCAGAGGAAATTAAAAACAGAAGGAGGGGACAAGGGTCAAGCTAGGTAAAAGCTACTTAAGACCCTTCATACATCACATTTTTCCAACTCAAGCACGCGTGTTTGCTTAACACAGGCATTCAGTAGCTCAGACTCTCAAAAGGTGGTTGGAAAAGTACACATACACCCCCTTTGGGATCCTGTTGTGTTGCATTGCACGCTTTAATAAGGCAGGTATTCATAGGTATGTCCAAAATGGTTTCACAAGAAGCGACTTACAAATCTGAAAGTCAGAGCAAGTGCACAGTAGTAAGTACCACTTTCCATGACTTATTGCTCACAGACATGCAGCTGCACTTGTGAACTGCATCCCTTGAAAATTATTTTATTCCAGTTGGGGAATGTGGATAAGATGAGGTGGTCTGAATGTAATTGGCTGTGGCTGGGAGTAAGACCCATTGAATATTCAGCGTAAACATGCACAGAACAATATGTGGTATTTGATGCATGGCAGATGTTTCAGAGGGGTTAGGTTTCACTTCATGCCATTACCAAATAATAAACATGCCCATGTGAACTCAGCTGTATTTCTGACAAGGGTGGTATGCAGAAAAGCAAGTCTCCAAAACCACTCAGTACATGTTCATGATGAATATCATTTCTGGAACACCTAGGTCCCACACAGATGACTATTTTACAATACATTTGAACCCCATGAAAAATAATATTCTTCCTTTAGCACTTGGCAGGATTGTCACAGATCATCAGCTTACATTGTGGCAGGTTCTGTCACTCCCTGCTAGTTTGGTCAGGCATGGAGTTGGCATAAAACAATGGCATCTAACCACCTGAACCAGCAACTGATTTCAGATGACCCACATTCAAGGACTGAGTAAAGGCTGAGTGCGGTTTTACAATCAAATGTGGGTTACTGTGTTATCTGGACCCAGTTGTGCTAATAAGCCTTTGCTTGACAACCACATGCAACCCATTAAAAGAACTCATTATCTCTTTTTGGGGTATGAACTGTGGGTTGTTCACCATGGTTTGTTATTTTGGTGTTATGCTCCAACAACAACCCACACTTAATTAACAACCCATACTCAAGCACCGAGTGTGAATTATCATGCTGTCTGAACTCAGTAATCATGTGATCTTCCCATTCTCAGTCCCAAACACTGCTTTCCCCAACCTGGTCATGCTGACTGGAGGTGATGGGAACTGTAGTCCAAAATGTAGTCCAAAACATCTGAAGGATGCCAGGTCAAGGAAGGCTGTCATAAAGATGCAGATATTGCAGTTTTGATTTTATTCTTGTTCATTAATGAGAGAGAAAAGAGGGATCTTGAGGGGGGGAACCCTCCTCACAATCAACTTCCACCCTGTCCCAGCTTTCTCTTCTGTTTCTCCTGATCATTATGAAAAGATTTTCACATTTTCCTCTGCCCCACACCTTCCTCAGGCATTGTGGTGCCAAATATAATATTGTAAAGCTGAACCAATCCTATGCTTACAATTTTTAAAAAGGAATTGTTTAAAAAGCCACCCAAGTGCTGCTGTTAATGCATTCTGGAGATTGGCTCAGTTTCCCTAATGAGCCACTGGAGAGCTTCATGCCGTCCTTGCTGTTCCAGTTCTGCCCCGATCACCTCTCTGCATCTTCTGTGGTAGTCATTCACCCAGTCGCACTAAGAGGTGGAGGAAAAAAGAAAAAGAATGGTCTGACAGGAAGAAAACAGAATGTACTTTCATCTCCAACCACCATGAATATCACTTGGGAAGGAAAGCCTGCTAGAAACCACAAATGGCCAGACTACGAGCAAAACTGGAATGCATGCTGTTAATGACTGGAGACATTCAAAAGCATCTAGGTGCAACTGTCTGGGGGCATGACTGGCTCTTGCCCAATGGCATGCTGAAGAACAGGTGAGACTTGCAACCAAATGTTAAAGGGTAGGATGGTCCTGCTCACTGTTCCAGTCAGTCAACCAGTCATGACCTCCCATCTGCCATGATTTTTCAATGAAGCATGAAGAGGCATGGGTTGCTGCTCTTCCACAGAATTCCTAAATATGGCCTTCCATAAATCAACATCAGTTACTTGAAACAAAGAATGCCCCATGAGTCTGAGTTCCTCCACAGAAAATTATAGTGTTCTTCAAGTCACACTACCTGTAAACAAGGTGTTCCAAAAGGCTTGGACTATTTGGCTGTGATGACAAAACATACAGCAGCAATGCCAAGAAACCTTTGAGGATCTCTGGATTCTATTTGTTCTATGAGTCACCATTTTAATATGCTATATACACAGATATATAGCACAAAGGCATTTTAAATATATAAAAGCAGCAAATATATTCTTGTCACTGCTTGCATAAAGCAAGGTTCTGTGATTTATATCTAATCTATTGGAAGTTTGATTTGTTAGGTTGGCTTTTGTGTCTGCTATAAATTTTGTTTTGAATTCCAAGCTTAACAGCATTAAATCTTTGCTGTGAAAAAATGGGGCATGAGTGCTGCATTGAGAAATGCTCCTGCTCAGCTACAGTCAACCAGCCATACCTTCTTTCCACGATACTCTATTCCATTCTACCATGGAACTAGCCACAGGGTTTTGCATTTCTGTGCCCCAGCACTGAGTCAGCATTCTGTACCCACTGAGCAAGCTCAGTATTCACTGGGCTGTTTTGAAGTGTCCCCTTATGTTTCTTTTTTTCTAAAGAATCTCGTGTACTTCTGCAAATCCTGGAGTTCCCCCAAGCCTGCTTGTGCACGTTTGGTGCTCTTTTGGCTACTTACTGTGGAAATGAGCTTAGTTTTAATACATGCTAGGAAAGGGGAATGTGTGGATCTCCAAATGCTGTTGCACTGCAATTCCCATCACCCCTTACCACTGGCCACACTGGCAAAGGCTGATCAGAGTCGCAGTCCAACAGCACTCCAGTGTTCTGAAATACAGGATATTCATGTGTAGTAAGTTTTGTAGTATTTTGTATGAAAAAAGAAAGAAAATTTCATGGAAATTTGACACCTCTGTGAAAAGCAGTATATAAATAAGAGCAATAAATAAATCTATTCTAGAACTGCTACTCTGAATGAGAGAATTTCAGCTGAGCTGAATTCCATAGCTTAGATAAGATGCTGGAACCTATGAATACATCACTACACAACCGGCTCAGTGGCAAAAATCCAGAATTCCTCCTGATATGTTCAATTCCTGAAAGGTCTGCAATTATGGAAGTTTTATCCATCCACCCTTGTAATATACCTTCCTAGTAACTACTGTGATGCTCATACTACCTTCTAGTCAAATGTGGTAACAGATATGACTACGGCAACACCGGCTGTAGGCAGTGTTGAGATGAGTCCCAAAATGGTGGGGGGGGGGGAATGAGAAAGTCACAGTTTCATTGAGAAAGGCTTGAGAAATGAGAAAGGCTTGAGAAAGTCACAGTTTCATTTTTTAGCCCCTCTTACCTCTTTCTGAGTCAGCAAAGGAACATGTATCATTTTGGTCTGTATTGGAACCAAGGTCAAAGGTTCAAAAGTCAAACTTCCTCTGTTGCTGAAGTTATACTGTGGAGGTGAGAAATTATGTTTGTTACTGGAGAAAGTTGCTTGCCAAACAAGGAAGGGTATTTTTTCCCTACTGATTTCCCATAAAGAGTAGAGAGAAATAGTTTTGAGAGCTATATTAATACCTCACTTATCCCTTTAGAGAACTGCTTTTGGGGTGCAAGTAGTAATTTAGAATTCTTCACCTTTATAAGAACTTCTCAACAGAGTAAACTGCCATGAAAGTAAGCAGATGGGTGGATTAGGGAACAGTGGTGTTCAGGCCACATTACACAAAAGTTTTGAGCAGCCATGTCTAACTTTCCACTAATTAAGTGAATAAAAACTTCCAAGAAACCTTCATTATGTAAATATATCCCTGTTAAAATGAAACCTTTTATATTCTTGTTGACATGCAACAAGCATGGTCTGCACTTTCTTAGGTCCGTGTAGAAACAAGCATCCCTCAGCAGAAAGCAACAAGTTCCACCCTGAACAAAACAGTATCAGCTAAGCTATTTTTCACACCCTGTGCTATTACCACTCTTTTGAGTTTAGCTTGTAAATGTTCCACCTCAAAGATCTCACATTCAAAGTCACTGCAAGGTAGCAGCAATGCCTTCTTGAGAACACCAAAGAACCACTCACCTTAGTTTTAGCAGGAACAACAATGACAACGTTTTCTATTCGGATCCCAAAAGAACCATCCTCATAATAACCAGGTTCTGCAAAGACAAAGAGTGATCCCGCAAAAAATCTTGCAGAAGGCAAACTTCTTAATTCAAGTTTTAAAAAGTTATAGTAAACTCCAGCTTCACTGTTTAGCATCCTGAAGACTTTGGAGTACAACGAGATAAGGAAGGTTCCATTTCCCACCCAAACATACATGTATGTATCTTTCAAAGTGAAAGGCAACAAGGATTTCTATTATGGCTTGATATGAAAGCCATTTTGCTGAAGCTGGACCAATTAATGCTATGGTGTGCAAGCACCTACAGGGACACAGCCCAAGTGCTTGAATGTTAGCATTGCGTGAAAGCACCGGAAAAATTACAAAGTGGACAAGAAACAAAGTGTCTGAATACAGATGCCACACAATTTAGGTCTTAGTGCCCACAGGTTGAACTGGCGAGTTGCAGCCATACTGATTAAGTCCTATTATAATTATACTATCAATTTACTTAAGTAATATTGCACTTCCTTTCTGAGCCCATAAAATATACAGCCAAAAGGCTTACAGTGCCTACAGTTTTTGTATCATCAATATGCCAGAAGTCAAAAAGGAGGAGACAATTGCTGTAATAGCTTCCAGACTATGAGTACATTACCATCAGAAACAATCATTCCAGCTTCCAGGGGTTCATCTGCAAAGGTTTTATAGCTAATGCCACAAGGACCTTCATGGACATTGAGGAAAGCACCAACTCCATGTCCTGTACCATGCAGGTAATCTAAGCCTTGATCCCAGAGGGCAGACCGGGCAAAGGAGTCCAAGAGGTGACCTACAAGTCACAAGAGGAAGTAACAGAAGGACAACAGATCAAAAACTTGGAGTTTTGATCTTTGATCTATCTTTGCTCTTACTATATCCCAATCAAGGAAATGACAAGCTCCTAAAATGGCAGACTGAAAATACAAACACCCTCTTTCCTTTAGAATATTTTCTTTCCTGTACTCTTAAAGTCCCAGTACAATGACCCCCAACTCTAATCCCTCTTAAGATAGTTGTAACCAACTAGTCCCACTATTTATGTATATGTTGTTTTAAATGTGGATAAAAAAGCCCAATGACTCAAGAAAAAGCCCAAGCCAACAAATGGGCCTTCAGAGCTTTCCAAAAGTCCTAAAAGGGTAGAGTCTGAAAGATCCTAGATGGCAACATGAGGTTCAAACAGGAGAGAGAGCGCTTGCCCTGACTGGCCAAGGTTTACCTATCTCCTGTCTCTCCTTGGAAATACACTCAAGGAGGACAAAACTGAATAGCAGAGGTGGTTACAGTATTATTTTAAGCAGTTACTTCAACAGAAGAGAAGGAAAGCAACCAACCTTTGGTTCCATTTGGGAACACTGCTGCACTGACAGCTATGTGGCCCTTCAGCACATAGGTAAAACACTCCTGCAAAGAAAAGCAACACTAAATTAAAACAAAGGGTGGCAATGTAAGGGTACTTGCAGCCTGGAATAAGTACATGAAAACTTCTGAGTTACAATCTGCTAATACACATGACACTGCAGCTTCTACTGATGAAAGATCCCAGTTCATCAGCTTGTCTCCCAAAGGGTTGGAGAGAATAAAGGTCAGTTTCTAGCAACACCAACAGCTTTTTTATTCAGCCTCTGTATGGACTACATCACTGACATCTCCAGTAGCCCCAATATACATTAGCATCCAGAGCTTTTGTATCCAGCCTGGGGAAAATGGTGCATCAATAACCAAAAAATATTAGGGCATCTTTGGCAATAACAGCTAAATAATTTGGAGACCATGCCCCAAAGAAACATAGTCCAATCTGTTTAAAACCAGACGCTCAAATAGTCTGCCAGACAGATGATTCAAAGGAAGCAAAAAACTGGTTAACATGTCTGGGTTTTGTTTGAGAATACTACTTTTTCCTAGCCAAAACTGTCGCTCTGTCATGAAAGAAGTAAAATATCTCTTTTCCTTCCTCTTTATTTAGCTATGATTTGAATCCTACATTGCAGGTATTTCAGACCAAATCAATAATCAACAAATGTTTATTTTAAAAAACCATGTCCATCCCCTCAGAATTGTCATAAAGACTGAAGAGACAACAGCCAAGGGGAAACTGCTGCCAAAAATACTCCAGGCAGAGATTACACTATATGATGGTCTAGAATATCATACATGAAATGGAGAAATGTTCCTGTTGGGCACCAGAAATCCGTTGGCTCTGTAACCACCTTGATCAGATGAACACACAGACAGGCTTGGACCAATACATAAATGCTGGCGTAAATGTCGGACAGTCCAATAGTACTTACTGGAAAACGACACACTCAGAAGAAGCAAAACACTAAGTACAAGGCAGCTGCACAGGGCCTGGCAGTGACAGGGTGAACTTCAGAAGCAACCACATTCAGGTCAGTGGCTTTCCCCAGGCCCTAAAGATTGCCTCTACACTACCACTGGCTTTCTTCTGCCACAGACTGCAGCCGCCTCTCAAGAAACTGCCCCTCCCCTTTTCAGATGTGGTTGCCAAAAAAGTGCTATTTTGAGCTGCACTGATAGAAACCATGTGAAATACTAGATCCAAATCACATGCAGTGCTAGTGCTCCTCTACTCAGCACAGGTTAGGCCTCATCTTGAGTGCTTTGTCCAGCTCTGGGCATCACAGGTTAAGAAAGATGCAGGCAAACTGTGAAAAGTTCAGAGGAGGACAGTAAAGATGATCAGGGGACTGAAACAAAGGAAAGACTGAAAAAGCCGGGCCTGTTTAGCCTTGGGAAGAGAAGCTCAAGGGGATATGTGGTATCACTCTTCAAGAACACGAAAGGCTCACACAGAAGGGCCAGGATCTCTACTCAGTCATTCCAGCGTGTATGACACAGGATAATGTGTCCTTCCTCAAATTATAGGAAGCCAGATTCCAGCTGAACATCAGGAAAAACTTCCTGTTAGAGCACTATGACAAGATGCAGCTGGACAACCATCTGTTACAGATGCTTTACCTTGAAATCCTGCACTGAGCAGGGGATTGGGCATAATGGCCTTACTGGCCCCTTTCAATGCTACCATTCTGTAATTCTCTGGTTCGAAGACTAGCTGCTATTAACCAGTCACATCCTCTGGTCTTAAAGTGCAGGCTCAGTTTCAGCTGAGATACTTGATCATTTCACAGCCTGCCATATTAAATGAAATTTTCAAGCGCACCCACTTACTACACTTATTGCTTCTTTCAAAAGCCACCCTCCCTAAAGATATGAATTCTTGCATACCTTTTCATAATCTGATGGAGTGCCAAAATGCATAGTCCTTGTCACATCGGTGGTTCCATCCCTGGGAGAGAAAAAGAGAGGGAGAGATGAGAAGGAAACACTCTAAAAAAACATTAAACAGGCAAACATACATTTCATTTCTCTCTAACATGTGGCCAGAGGATTACAGCCCTCAACACTGGCCAGGGCAGGTGGGAGTTGCAGTTTCTAAGCAGCATCTGGATGGCTACAGAATTTTCTTGTACAGCCTAATGAAAGATGATATTTCACCAACTTTTTCAAATGGTGTTAATACAGTGGATAAGAATCTGCAGGAATAGGTACTGCTGGACTTGAGAACTTCAGGCACCTCCAATATTCCTGAAATACAAGGTTGCCATAGTATTGATGAAAAAGAGTACTGGGTAAATAGATTGTTTCATGGAGACACACAGATACTTCTGTGTCTTTGTTAGAGTTTGGAGGAAAGTTGCACCACTTAACACAAAGAACACCAGGACTTTCTTTTGGAAACTAAACTGCAGGAATAGATATCCCCTGAAAAAAGTGGTGGGCCTTAAGCTATCTTCTTTCTGGACCAACTGCAGGATGGGGAAGTGTCTCATAGGTGGAAGGCACTTGGAAGTATCAGGTCCACATATTAAGTCCAGAGCATTCCCTTGTCAAGAAGGAGATCTACAGCCCACACTTTCTGGGGCACCTACCTTTGTGGGGAGGTGGGGGATTCTCATTTGCCCATGCATTCCAACTGACTGCTAGGCACTTAACAGCTGTCGGTTACATGCAGCCTCACCTCATTAGTCTGTTATCATTTGACAACTGTAACTGACAAGGCAACAGACTAAGCAAGACTATATATATTGGAAGGACAGAAGAGCACACTTGCAGAGCTTGAAAACAGCAATTTTTTAAAAAAGAAATTACTAACACAATTGTGCACGTTTCTCAAACCAAGTGAAAAAAATGGCATATCAGCAACTACCACTCCAATGTGCCACTGGCTGTCACTGATGGAGGCATGGACAAGATCACGAACAATGGCAAGAAGTTTCTGCCCCTCTTGCCAAGCCACAACCCACAATGGATCTGTCTGCCATGTTTGGAATCCGTCCTTCTAGCATCTGTGGACTTTGTCCTGTGGTCGGCCCAGTAATGGAAAATGAACCGAACTGAGAGGAAGTCTGCAAACTCTCACAAAATAAAGGTTGTGCAATGAGGAACCTCCTTCTGCATCATGTGCAACAGCACAAATGGCTGCTGCACGTGGCATGGAAGAGGGCGCTGTCCGAGCAGTGGTTGTGCAGGGCCTCATTCCTGGCAACCCACAGGCGAAGAACCGTCTTCTGCATCAGAGGCAGAGGCATCAATGGCTGCTGCAGGCAGCATGGAGGAGGGATGCAGGTTGCTCAGCCTGAGGCTCCATTCCTGGCATGCGCTCCCCAAATGCTGGGCATGCTTCCCAGCAACCCAGCATCCAGGGCACTGCAAAGTGGACTCAAGTCTGGGGAGCGGAGCCCAGGGGATCCTATGGATTCCCATCCTTAAACAGAGTCCTCGCCCGTACCTAATTGTGAGTTCAACCACCACTAAAACAATCTATGGGTTTCCAGAGTAGTTTGCTCATAGAAATTAAGCCACTATGCAGAAACTGTGCTGGGTCTGGATAGCACAATAACTCACTGTGACTAGTTATTCATAATAGGCTGTTATATTGTAAGAACCAAGTCACTGACAGACATTCACTGAGCAGATGAAGTAATAGCTCATTGAGAAGCAGGCTTTATGATACCTTTATGCTGGTTTCTGATAGTTTCACACCTCTTGCATTTATATTATTTTTAATATATGAATTAAAGGTTGTGAATACATGTTTTGAAGTTATAATAAACACACATATATAGTTAACATAACTTTTGTAAACTGCCAAGAGGATCTTGTTGGTGGACAGTATAAAAGAAAAGAGATGATTTATGAGCAAATGGGCTATTTTCACTATGTTTTGAAAAAGAAAGTTGAATTTAAGGTACAAGCTTCTGTTAGGATGATTGCAAAATTAGTTATAAGAAGAAAATGGGTTACATTGTAAGTTATTTTTAAAGGGAGGAATTTGGAAGAAGTTTATATACACAATTTTATTTGCAGTATGTCATAATAATTTTGTTGATATCTAAAGATACTAATTGGAAAGTATATATGTGATGCCCCTATTTTAGGTGTACTTTGTTGTATTTAATTGTGAAAAGCTAGCTTTGGTTTTGGGGTGGGGTAGGAGGAAGAAAGCTCTTAGAGAGGAGAATGTTTGCCCAACAATCGTTTTCGTAACTTTCATAGAATAGTATGAAGGGGAAGGGGCCATGAAGGCCATCAGGTCCAACCCCCTGCTGCTGCAGGACACCAGTTTGCACCATCCCACTCAGATGGCTGTCCAGTTTCTTTTTGAATGGCTCTAGTGTGGGAGAGCCCACCACATCTTTAACCCCAATCATAATATAGAGCAACACTATCAACAGCCAGCATGAACAATGTCCAGAATTCTGAGAGTTACAGTCTCAAGCTTGTGGAGCATACCATTTAGGAAGATATGGAGCATACCATTTAGGAAGACTGATACAAAGGGTGACACGGTTGTTGTAGCTAAGCCGTTCTACACATACTAGCAAGGGGTCTCTAGACCACAGATGCCCTAAATCCCAGCATCCATTGTTTTACCACCCTTCAGAGATTAGGCACCAGCTGGACTCCCAAAACAGGATAGTCTACCACAAGTTGATACAGAAATTATTTTTGTTAACTGAATTTAAGCTTGTTTGGGACTTGAGATTTTTAATTTTACAGCTTCTAAAATCTGGCTGCAGTCTCACTTGAGACTTGCATGCTCAACTGAGCTTTCACAGACTGCAAGGCCACTGGAGCAAAATCAAGGAGAACTGGCAAAGGCATTTTGCAGGAAATGAGCTCTATTCAAACAGATCTAGTCTATATCCCTCTGGCTTTTCTGGCATTAGTGTCCCTGAGTTCCTCCTGCTCTCTGCTCATGGAACATTCCAATCTGGATAACTGTCTGCATGTTGTTATTGCCCAGGCCGGCCAGGCTGTTCAGAAATTTTAGGTACAAAGGATCTGGCTTCGATGCAAGAGATTGTATATAGTGACCTTCAGTTCCCTGTGGGATCTGCACTTGTACGAAAGGAAGTCTTTGTATGTGAGCTTCACAGGATGTGAAACTCTTAGGAATGGTACATTTCAGAAATGATACATTATTTGGTAGTAAGAAGGATTTTTGAGAGGATGGGAAAAGCAGAATAAAAGCAGTAATGTTTCCTTACTTTGCACCAAGCGATACCAGGAAAATCTTGTCAGTCCAGAAAAAAGGAGGGAGAGACAACATGCATTGTGTAATTCTGTGCAAACAGCACAATCATAACACTCAGCATTCCCAATATGACAGTGGTAAAGGGTGGGTTAAGAGCATTGTGCACAATGCCTGGTGAAGTCTCCAGAGTAGTATCTGGAATAATGGCAGTATTTCTATGAAACTCTGGAGCCAGGGGCCATAAGCACTCCTATATTATCCCATCTCCCTCCCCCCGTGTCACAAAGCAGCAAGCAAACATTGAAATTATCCCAAATTCTTCTTTTGGTTAAATTTTAAGCAAAACACTAAAAAGGGAACTAAGCAGTGAAAGCAAATGCTGAATCCATTTGGAAAACCATCAAAGTCTGCAAGATGAAGTTGCAGCAATGTTGACTTATGTGAATAGTTTAATCATTTGCATGTGTACTCAAAAATATGTCCCACTGAATTGAACAGTATGCTCCTTCTGGTGAAAAATCTTGGGGTCTAGTTACCATACAAATCCACAAATTATTCCATGGTTTTGAAAATAAAAACACAATTGACTTGGGAGCTTCACTGACATTAAGAACAGACAAAAAGTCAGGATGGATCAGACCAAAGTTTATCTAGTCCAGCATTCTCTTCACACAGTGGCCAACCAGGTGCCTATGGGAAGCCCACAAGTAGGAAATGAATAGCAATTTCCCACTCATGTTCCCTTGCAATTGGTACACAGAGGTATACTGCCTCTGATACCTGAGGTAGCATGCAGTCATCATGACAACTAGTCACGGATAGCCTTATCTTCCCAGAAGTCGTTTAAATCCTCTTTTAAAGCCATCCAAGTCAATAGCTGGCACTACATCTTGTGGTAGCAAATCCCATTTAGCTATGCATTGAATAAAAAAGTGCTTCCCATTATCTGTCCTGAACTTCCCACCCATTCAGTTTTAGGGCAGGATCCCAAGTGTTAGCACAATGTCTGTCCACTTTCTCCACACCATGCTTTATTCTGTGCACTAACAGAACTTGGGCAAGAATAGGAGAACATTCCAGGAGAATTATGAGCAAAGTCCTTTCTCTAGAGTCCAGGCACTCTGCCCTAGCTCATGACATAAAAAGCACTGGAATTAACTTTGCAGCATCAGCCAATTCAGCCCCACTGTCCCCACAAGTCTGGAAAATATCATGGATGGCTAACTCATTATACTCAAGTGGCCGCTTCTCAATGTGTCACTAAGGAAGCCGATAATTAGGCAGCCCGGGAAGAAGGATCTCATTGTACAAGTCTTATCAAAGAACATTCAGACAGTTCACATTCAAAGGGCCTATTACGAATGCTGGTGAACAGAAACCTCTAAAGAAACAATTCCCTTCGAAAGGGCAGATCAGGTCTGCTACATTCTTTGCTGAACAAAATGCTTTTTAATTGTAATGCTGGTAAAGCATGCTGGCTAAGAGACTGAGCTATAAACACACCAGGCAGCCTTAGGTAAGTCATGCTCACTCAACCTCAGTCTTCTCCAGCTACAATATGGCGGGGAGCGGGGGGCAGACACAATATTGTACAGCATTTTAACTACTGTGAGTTGATTATTCATTATTCATATGAAGTTCAGCGGAAGGCTACAGCCCATGGACTGTGCGTAAGCACATGCATGCAAACATAATGGTACCCTCCCAATTGTCCAACTATCAGTTTACTTAATAATCCAGGAATGCAAATCAAAATGACATTGAATGAGAAATCATCAACTATTTGTCCAAGGTGAGAGCAACTACTTCACTGTCCCTACTCAGATAACATACAATGCTCTTCCTTTTTGTGATGCCAGCAAAACCAAGGCTACCTACATGTTTCTTCATATCTAATATTGACCCAAGATGGGATTTCATTTAAGCATAGGCTGACAGATTGATGTAGTGTGTATGCTGCAGGGGTCATTGCATACTTACTTGTACTGAGCACCAGAATCCAAGAGGTAGATCTCATGCAGGGATAAAGTCCTATTTGTCTCAGGAGAAGGCCTGTTCAATAAAGCAAAGTTATTGCTTCAGCACTTTATCACCTATGCACTGAAACCAACAATTGAAAACAAAGCATCTTAGCAAGATACCACTCAAATTATATAATTTGATAATTAACTTCGGACTTAAGTACATTTGTCCTTAATGGATTTTTGTCTGACAAAGCTTTCCTTAGAAGCAAAAATGATGAGACTGTGGTACTTTGGGCACATCATGAGAAGGCAAACCTCCCTGGAGAAGATGATGCTAGGAAAATCTGAAGGCAGAAAAAGAAAAGGAGGACAAAGCATGAGGTGGACTGACTGCATAAAGTTAATCCACGGCCTTGAATTTTGAAGGGCTGAGCAGTGCTGCTACGGATAGCACCTTTCGGAGGACATTCATTCATAGGGTTGTCGTAAGTTGGAAACACCTTGAGAGCACACAGCAACAGCAAGAACAGAGCAAATAACTGGGCCTGCCAGATGTGTGTTCAAGTATGCTGAGTTTTGCATGGATCTCAACCTGCTATTGCAGAAACAAGAATACTAGAAGGGCTTATTACTTATATCAGCCTTTCCCAACTTGGTGCCCTCCAGATGTTCTGGACTTCAATTCTCATCAGGCCACCCAGCATGCTGAAGGGCAAGGAATGCTGGGAAATGTAGTCCAAAATACCAAATATCAACTTTTAGGGAAGCTTAATCTACTTCAGCATACTCATGCCTAAATCACAAGTATGTCTCCCACAAATGCTTTATGATCTGTACTGGCTGCAGTCCATCTCTAGGCCTGACTCAAAGTACTTGTATTGACCTACAAAACCTTACAAAGCTATTTAAGTCCCAGGGCTGGGTTAAAACTTTTTAAAATTTGCTCTCCATTTTAATTGTTGACTTTCTAGTTTTATATTGACTTTTAAATTGTTTGGGCATATGAAATAGTTATTATTTATTGCATTGTGTTTCTGTCATTGTACAGGCCTGCAAAAATGCTATAGATGTATTTGATGCAGGCAAATCTGTTTTAAATTGTTTCCACTGCTGGATTTTGAATACTTTAATTATATTGTGTAAACCATTTTGAGAGCTTTATGCTAATCAAATGGTATATAAATGCTATAGATGGATGGATGGATGGACTGGGGCCAGGCTATTATCTCTATATATACCTACCCAGACCCTAAAATCATCTTCACAGGCCCTCCCCTAGTCTATCCCCACCAACTGAACTGAGCCAGGTAACTACTAAGAAAGGCCTTTTAGTGGTGGCACCCACTAAACTGACTAATGGGTGGAGTAGAATTTGAATAAATAAATAAAATTCAGAACTAATATGGGTGCTATCTGCATACCTCATCATGCATACAGGCCTAATTAGCAATGTCATTATTTCCTCAGAAAAAAAGTACCATGCATTTCTGGTCCTTACATCAATGGCCCTATATGTGGGGTGATGGGATGGAGAAGGAGCAACATACCCTCTTCCTCCTGCATTTTATAGGTGAGCAGCCTACATTGATACAGAGATCTTTCCACATTTTAAAGTGGTTCATTATCTATGAAAACATGTAGCACAGGAAATAGGTTTGTGGGTCACCAGCAAGCACTTAACACTTCTGTAAATATAAGGAAATATGTTAATATAAAGTATGAAGTACGTCTAGACAACATAACACCTCTTCCTTCATATTTAACTACCATTTAAACTAGAGCTGTACTGAACATGCTTACTTCTTCTGTTTTGCACTGAGACATGCACCTTGAACTAAGCTCAGCTGTCCACTTAAGGATCAGTGAATGCGCTGGATTTTTATTTTTAAGAAGAGGTTGTCCTATGTGGGCAGTTTCCAGACTGAAATCCATGCAACCCCTGAGCAAGTTCTAAATGAGAAGTGTGAATCCTCCTGCATCTGTGTAGTGAGGCAAGAAATCTTCTCACCCATCCACAAAGACTGGCCCTTGCTCAGTAATACCTTTGAAAATCCAGCAAGCTAGGAGAACAGTGGCAATAAATCCAGCTGAAGCACCCCACTGGAGCTATTTGAACTTCTACCCATGGCCACAGATTAAGAGACCTTCCTCTTTCCTTCCACCACAAACAGGTCATAAAAGTTCTAACTTAATACACTCCATATTACCACAAGAGAAATATAGCCATTGTTACATTGCATTTATATCCTACCTTTTTACTCTTAAGAGAAATTCAAAGAAGCTTGCATAGCTCCATTTTAAACTCACAATAACCACCCTGTAGAATAGGTTGGCTGACAGTCTGTGACTAGCCCAAACCAGGGGGGTTTCTGGACAAGTAGGGGCTAGAAACTAGATTTCCTGGATCCACAGTACAACACTCTAACCAGCACACCATGCTGACCCTCAGTTATAGCGTTAGCCATCATTGAGATGGTCATTTTAAGCTCAATCAACATGATAAACTTATTGGATACATATGGTACTGGGGCAAACATTTTCTCAGCAAAACCAGGTTATAGTAGTGATTTTTTCCCTCATCTGTACTAAGCAACAAGGCACTGACTTGTTGATGCCAGAGGTTCTTTCTGAAAGGCAGGAAGCTGCCTTACATGGAATCAAACCATGGATCCATCTAGTTCAGGACAGTCAGAACTGACTGGCAGCAGCTCTCAAGGGTTTTAGGCAGGATTCTTCTCTAGCCCATTCAAGAGATGCCAGGGACTGAAATTGGGACCCTTTTGCATGCTGTCCTTCCCTTTCTAAAAGCAGCAGGTAAGTGCAAGGGGTCTTGTTGCTCTTACTTGTAGTGAATAATAGCACCATTTGGGCCCGTACTTGAAATAGTAGCAAAGCTCAAGTCAATGAAGTTCTCTTGCTGGCTGAAAGAAAGAAAGAAAGATTTCATGAAGAGCACCTCAGTCTTCCTACCAGTTTTCTCTTGATCTGGCCTTTGTCTGGTGACAGTTTCCCCAGACTAAGGTGCTAAATTTCAGGTGGGCTGAGGGGAGAGTCCTCTGCAACAAAGAGGCATCAAGTCTCTGAATGCTTAGACAAGGGGGCTTCCACAAAAGCACACTGGTGAGCAACTAGCACATTGTTCATACTTGGACATGAGAAACAACTGTCTTTACAAACTATCTACTTGAATGATTTGGACCACCATGTGCCACCTTTAACCTGTTACTAAATATGGAATCAACAAGACCTGGAAATCGGGGGATGGTGTAGTGGTATTAAGCTTGATCAATACACCATATTTAATCCATCAAACACAGAATGTCAGCTGGAGTAATGAAATATACTTATTTTGTACACCTGTTTCCCTAATACATAATAGATTCTTTAGACAAGTTTACCAAATTCATCTAAGAATGAGAGTTGAGCAGGAAGGATGGAACATACAGAATATTAAGTAATTTGCCAAATGTGAAGAACAAGGACCAAGCTTTCTTGTTCTCAGGCTTTGACAATCTGAGGACATGAAAATCTGGCAGGAGATCAACCAGGCAAATAAACAGAGAAAAGACAAGGCAATCAGTAGAAAGAAGTTTTCTCCTCTCTAAATTTCTGGCCTCTTAAGATAGAATCCTGCTACTGGCAGAGTTCTCAGAAATCTGCCATTAGGAATGAGCAGTGAAGTGGCCAAGTTTGCTGATGACACCAAACTATTTAGGGTGGTTAAGCCAAAGGGAATTGTGAAGTGCTCCAAAGGGGTCTCTCCAAGATGGAAGAATAGACATCAAAATGGCAAATGCAGTTCAATGTGATCAAGTGTAAAGTAATGCATGTTGCAGCAGAAAAAAAATCCCAAATTCAAATATAACCTAAAGGGATCTGAGATAGTAGTGACTGATCAGGAAAGAAAACTTGGGGTTGCAGCTGACAACTCAGCAAAAATATCCACCTACTGCACAGCTGTTGTGTCAAAGGCAAACTCCATGTTAGGCATAATTAGGAAAGAAATTGAAAAGAAGGAATGTGTACTTCCCTTATACAAACCTTTGGTGCACAATACAAATATTGTGCACAGTTCTGGTTTTCAGACCTAGAAATGGACATCGAGTTGGAAAAAGTGCAGAGAAGGGCAACTAAAATGATGCAGGGTTTGGAGCAACCCTCCTATGAGGAATCATTACAAGGGCTAGGCTTGCTTAGCTTAGAAAAAGGGTGAGTAAGGGGAGACATGACAGATGTCCAAATGATGCATGGTCTGAAAAAATGAAGAGAGTTTTGCCTCTGCCTTCCATAATACCAGAACCAAGGGTTATCCCATAAAGTTGACTGATGGGAAATTCAGGACCTATAAAAAGAAGCACTTATTCATACAGCACATCATTAAACGATGGCATTCACTGCCACAGAAAGTGGTGATACACAACTGTTTGGGTGGCTTTAAAAGGGAATGGGACAAACTCATGGAGGAGAAGGCTATTATTACTACTATTCTTGATGGCTATGTACTAGCTCCAATACCAGAGACCACATGCCTGCATGGGAAATTTGGGCAGGAGGGAACTATCATACTCATCCTGCTTAAGGGATCCTCTTGGCAGCTGGTTTATCACCATGTGAATGGAGTGCTGGACTACTGATCTGATCCAGCATGGCTCTTCCTATGTTCTTATGAGGCCTCACCATCAGTATGTATAAAACAGTAGTGACTACAGTGACCCACAAACCTTCCACTTCGCTTTCTTTTTCTTACCTACGAAACTCCTCTGCTTTATCTGCAACAGTTATTTCAGTAATACTGCCTTTCGAGACCTAACATACAAAGTTGCATTAAGTTATTATGGTAAAGAGCAATGGAAATATAATGCAATGGCCAGCATTTCATGTAACAATTAGCTGCAATACTAAAGAATCCTGGCTTCTTATGAACAAGGCAGCATGTTGCAATGCACTGTGCCATCACTCCAGTCCAGGCCGCGACAACTACACAGAACATGGACCTTAACATCCGTGGGGTGCTTACCATGTTGTGCAAACCCAGAACTCAGGACTATCTCTCCATGAAGAGCCATTTTGAACCCGTCAATAAAGCTGGCATTAAGACTCTAGCTTGTTTAGAGAGAGACAAGACAAGGTTCTGGGTTTGCACACATCTGAGGAAACTTACCACAGACCTTGTTCAGCCACCACACATTCCACAGGCCAGTATACACATTCATTTGTTCGTTCGTTCATTTAAAGCTTTTGTATGCCATCCTATTATACAAAATCTCAGAACGGCTTACAGTACTTAAAAGAACAATTAAAACAACAATTTCTAATAAATAGAAACAGAACAAAACAATAAATCACAAAGCAAACAGAGCAACTGAAGGTTAAAAATTGTTAAATTTTAAAATACTGTTTAAATAAAAAGGTGAAAATTGTTTGTAAATTACATGCCCATGGAACACAGGCTTACTCTTACAAGCAAACACACAATATGGACTACCAGGGCCATTTGCAACCACTGGACCCACCCTAGAATGGGCTGCAACACCTCTGCAGGCAGCAGGAAATAAACAATTTAAAAAATTAAACGTTATCCACACTGGCCACAAAGCACTAAGAGGGTCAGAATGAACTTGCAAAGACATTAATATTGATTTTTTTGTGGTTTGTGGTGGCTGCAAAAGTTTTTTATTCATTTTACACAATTCTGTGGCCCACCCCATTATTTCTGCTGAAGTAAGTGGTTAAAAGTTTCCTTCATAAAACCCTAACAGGCTGGGAGGAGAGGAGTAAGTTGCCATCCAACCCAGTCCTCATCCCAATTTTTTGCAGCTCATGTTTGCATATTGTATTTCGTAGCATATTTCCAGTAAATGGGGAATTTTGTTCTATAGTCATAGTAGATGTATAAAGATGACTATAAAATGAGATTCTCTGTTTACTCCTGTTATGAATGTGACACACTAGAGTTCAAGAATTGCATGCATCCCAGTAAGGCTAAATTCCTTTATTCTCCTGGCTTGCCTTCTTCCAACACATGCAGTTATAACAAAATATTTGTGACTGCCATTAGCTTTATTATATTAAGGAATATTTCTCTTTTAATAAAACTCTGTAAAGCCATACCTCTTTCTCCAGCCAATTAAACAGTTCACACAGAGCGACAGCATCCTTAATCTGTTATTAAAATGAGAAGAGAGCAAATAAAGTTAAAAAGGGTGATTGCAACAACACCTTAGGCATTATCCATCTGGCCATTTTGAAAATTTTTGAAACAAATGTTTAAAGGTGAAAACAGCCAGTAGCAAAGGTTAATCAAAACATTTCAGTTCACAACCAGAAACTTCCCCATTTCAAGAATAAAACTGGTAAGAACCTCAGAGATCAGTGACTTATAGTCATTTCACTAAATCAGAAAGTCACTTACATGAGCCTTCCTCATGCCTTCCGCTTCAGATGCATTCTTCACAGCTTTTGCTATGCAGATGGGAGTATAAGGGGTGAGGTAGCGGTGAGCCTAAAAGCCAAGAGGGAAACAGATTTTGCCAAGAAGTCATATAACTGAGCCTGCAGTTGCTTGGCCACTATATTAAGCAGGTTGGCTGTACTTTCCGGTCTTTCCCATCCTTCCTGGGCAAGTCTTCTCACTCATTATTTGAGTCCATGTGTGAATGCTGCCAATACAGCACAGAGCACAAAGACCCATCTGTAAATCTAACGTATGCCCTAAAAAAGCCTTTCCAACCTTGCAGCCTCTAGATGAAAGAGCCCAAGAGCAGCCCTGCTAGATCACACTAAAGCCCCATCTAATCAAGCAATCTGATCACAGAGCAACCAATCAGATGCTCCAATTGGAAGTCCACAAGCAGTACATGAATGCAACAGCACAGTCCTGTTTGTGTTTCCCATCAACTGGTATACGGATGTATATTGCATTGATATAGACCTGTCGTGTACTAGTATCCATCGATACACTCATCCTGCACAGAATTCACTGATCTCTCTTTCAGGGCATCTAAGTTGGTGCTAAGGGCCATGTTGGCTGGGAATGAGGAGAGTTGTAGTCCCAACTCATTTAGAAGGCACCAGGTTGGAGAAAATTGCACTAAAGTAATGTAGGGTTTTACATTCACATTACAGATGCAGCAAATGAAAAGGAAAATCCTTACAGATAATAAGTCACAGCTTCTGCACTGAATCCCAGAAGGTGTGTTTCTTCCTACTATAAGAATAGAGTTACTTTATTTCTGTGCACTAGAACATCTCCCAGCTTTGCTGCATCAAAACATTAATTTGCTGCAAAAGCTGATTTACTCTAACTCCCACCTTATTCTAATTTTACCATCTTTTGAAGCAAATTCTTTTCATCTCCTCAAGCCTCAGAGATCACCAGTAACTGAAAAAAGCTTGGCCAGGGTTTCAGCAAGACCTGCAGAGCACCCACATGGAAAGAAATGCAGACTTCTCCAGACCAGGCAAAAATGCAACCAGACAGAGCCAAGCTAAGTGGAGCTCACTGCCCTGCCAAAGGGTACTGACCTTGGGGACCGCCTGGGTCAGGGCATAGCTGGCTTTGTCACTAAGCCAAACTTTCTCATGAGGAGACAGGGTATTGCAGAGAGACTTCAGAACCGTCAGGACAGAGTCATATGGCAGCACTTGGATGCTCGACTCCGCATCCTGAGCAGAATCCAGCAACAGGTGTGCTCTCACTTCTGGGTCTGCCATACGATCACCATCAATAAACAACCTGGAGGAATACATTGAGAAAGTCATTAAGGATGAGGTTGGGTGAGGTTCCACAGGTTAATGGAATGAAGAATGGATCCTGCCTGAACAAAGTCCTTCAGAGCAGGAATTGCTGACATTTTGGATCAGGGCCAACTTCCAAGCAAAAAATCTTCTTTGGTTTCATTCACTGGTGACTTTGTGTTAACATGATATACTTCCACCAGCACAAGCAGTCCACCCAATTTTTTGATCCTGCTGCACTGGATAGTCTGGAATACACAGAAGGGGGGGGGGAGGCAAGGCACGGAAGGAAGCTGAACTAGAACCTTCTCATTAGCAGGGACACTGATGTTACCAGCTACACACCAGATTTCCCTGTTCCTTCTGAGCTCAGCTGCAGTCCTCACAGGAGCTGGGAGCAACAGCATATGGTTCCATGTTGCAATGAAAAATATTTGAGGCAGTCTGCTGTTGAATGGGTAATGAAGACCCATTAACTTGAAGAAACTGGTGAAGTTGAAGACCGCTAGAACTGGTTTGCTGCTATGCATCAACACAGCAGCTTTCCTTTTTGAGCTCTCCTTCTGGACATGCCTACAGAACCTGCACATCAAAATCTGCCACTGTGCTACTGAATCCAACCCTTTATGCTGTATCCAGTGCTCCCACTCTGATGGGATCTAGAAAGAGGGAGGTAGCAAATCCGTTTCTATGACCAAACTTCTTTATTCATATTGGTTACTGAAAGATAACTGCGAAGACTTTAACCTATCATTAACGCTGTTGGTGTTCTAAGTCCTTCTTTGAGCGTTCCAAAATTTATCAAGTTTTAGGAAAGTATGAACGTTAGGTTTATACCACTGCTCCAAGATAATCCATGAAGCATTGCAATATCCTTCAGAAAGTTATGTTGCACCACAGACAATGAAAGCTAAGTTTTTTTCAGGCTTATTCAGTTGAATTATCATTTCATGGATTTCTAGCCCATTTTTCAGGGCACACATTGTTCTCACAAGATAGATTACACAAAAAAATTGAAGACACAAAAACATTTAAATGAGCAGCAGTTAAACATCTGTAGGCACTGCATCTGGTGAATGCAAATTTTTAATTAACCACCAATCAGAATAATCAGAGATTAGCATGTGGAGCAGACAACGGGTAGGGGCGAGGAGAGGAGAGAAGAGATTCTCAACAACCATTATGGGCAAAAATGATCTTGAAAATATTTTAGCACTAAAATGTTGGAGGTTATGGACTCCACATGATACCCACCCAAACCCCATGTCTCAGAGCAGAGATACCAACAGTGGTTGCGATATCTGAAAACTAGGCCCCAGGATCGTGTGCACTGAAGCCATTTGGCAGTTCCTCCCTTCCAGCAGGCTGTAGCTGAGAAACTGAACTGAGCAATGTTCCAGAAAGTTGCTTCCTTTACTTTTCAAAGCAATGCAGCCTGATCAGCATCTCTAGTACCAGACAGTTAAGATTTCCAAATTATGCAATGCAGTTCTCAGTGGAAATATCTTATCAAACTGTCTATTTTAAGATAAGAGTCAGGCAGACATGGTGAGAAAGCATATTTTGTGAAATCTACTTTTAAAACATGCATTTTAATACAAATTTTTAATTTAGACATGAAACAGAGTAGACATATGAATGAACAGAAGCAAAGCTGAAACAGACCGGAGCAGACCGATTCTTCCCTGCCTATAACTTTTAGACCTAATACATTCAAAAGAAGTGGGTGGAAAAGAATGACCACCAAGATATGCAACCCTTTGCTTAAGTTAAAAAATATCCTTAAGGTTCTGTACCCTTAGACATTATTTTTAAGATATGGGATGGTAAATTTAGCTGTTAGTTTGTTCAACTAGCCCTGTAAAAAATTAGACAAAGTCTGTAGCACATCTAATAAAAACCACAGTGACATTTGGGTTTTCCACAATAAAACTAAAGCACAGAAAAGTGAAAGCTATTTTGCAAAGTTTAAATCATCTCTGCCCTTCCATGAGTTTTCTGCTGCTAAGTGAAAAAAAAAAATAATAATAATTGTGCAAGTAGTAGAAACTGCTATGGGAAATAAGTCAACAACTTCAAAGAAGTTGGGAATTTTTCTTGCCTACCTGGCTGTAAAGACCTCCTAATATACCTAAATATCACTAAATTTCTAGGAGAAGAGGAAAAAGCATATGTTAAAAATCAGAGCAAATATTTGTAAAACTACAAGAACATAATGGTTTATATTACCTTATTGTATTGGTCCCTATGATGGCATAAGCAAAAAACACTGGATTGTATTCAACATCAGAGCCTCTGAGATTAAACAGCCCTATAAAACAATGAAAAATAGTGTTATAATTCTCACTGTACATCAACATTACTTTTAAGGAAGAAAAAAGTTGTTATTCAGATGCAACACAATCTGTTAACATCGTATCACTTAGCTGGGCAATAAGAGCTTTTTATCACAAGATGGCACTAGACGCTTGGCCTGCAAAATACAAGATGGCAGATCTCTCTGTTATGTGAAAAACAGGGTTGGCTCACATGCTTTTGTTCCACTTCGTTTCTCCATACAATCACCAAAAATGTGCTTGTGTACCTGATCACAAACAATAAAATGACGAGTGGGCCATACATGCTATGTAGGTACACATTTTACTGATTTAATGATAAACAGCATTTTCAAAAAGCTGCCGCAATCTCCAAAATAGTTGCCAAGTGTACATCAGCAGGACCCATCTAGTAACAGCATACATGTTACCTTATTCTACAGAATCATGACAACAAAAGTGAGAAGATAAACATGCGTGTGTACAGGTTTACAGAATAGGCAAGTCCTTCTTTAATGGCTGTAAACTTTTCAGTTTGTGAATCCAATATTAAAATTATATTGAACCAAAAATACTGAACACTTTAGTCTAACACAGGCCTGGGGTTCTGTCCCATGGAAGTTCCCTATGCAGTCTGCCTGACTGTTCTGCAGACGCTACCTCCACTCTTCTAAACACTGAATCTTCTTGGAAAACCAGAAAGACTTGACTGACAAAGACTAAACTGGCAAACACTAAAAAAACAAGCAAGCAAACAAGTAAGCCCACTATCAGCCTTCGCATTTTATAAAAGAATATCAAAAATGCAAGTGATCTTCTTACAAACATGGGAACTGAAGAAGCAAACAATTAAGAGGCAAGATACTTAATCTTGGATGTGTTTCGCAGGTCCACTTGTCAATGGGGCTGCTCTACATAAAGATTAACTCTCTAGGAAGAGCTGTGTACTTTGTCACCAAAGAAGGGCTGGGGGGGGCGGGGGGGGGGCATAAGAACAGGAAATGAGGGGAAGATAGGACTGATTCATGCCTCATCTCCTTGGAAGAAGAATTTAAAACAGAGGCAGCTCCAAGGACAAGTTTACACAAATAAGGTCAACTCTTCATTAATCCACAAGCCCAAGATCAGAAACTGGTTTATACTTTTATGACTTCTTCTAATAGGTGCCATTTCTTAGCCTGAAAAATGTAGCTGAAATGGAGTGATCTGTTTAAGGTCACTGGATGAGCCTACTGCCCAGGAGGTTGTGCCCAGAGCTGGTGTTCATATGGTGGTTCAAGTGCTAGACTATCACTCAAGAAATCTCAGTTCTTGCACCCAGTTCACCATGAAGTTTGCTGGGTGGCTCTGGGCCTGACCTACCTCACAGTGCTGTTGTCATGAGAATAAAATGGAAAGCAGACCCATGTAAGCTGCCTTGGGTTCCTTGCAAGAGGAACAAAGGTGAGGCATAAATGTAATGTAGTAATAAATTCACTACCTTCTCCACTGGGCCACACATCATCACTGTTACAATACAGTACATTTATACTCAGCCTTTCTTCCTTGTGGCAAGAAGCCCAAGGTTCTCATCTTCATTTTATTCTCACAACAACCACTGTGTAAGGTAGGTTGGGTCAGTCACAGACTCTCAGCCTAAAGTCTCCCAGCAAGCTTCATACCTGAGTGGAGATTAGGAAACTGATCTCCTGAGTTCCAGCCCAACACTCCAACCACTATGTCCCACCAGCTCTCTTTTAAACTGGGGGACTGAACCTCTTTCAGTCCAAGGGTCAAATTATATTTTGGAGGGACAAGTTTCTCAGGAACAAGTTTCCATTGGTGGCTGGAGCCCAAAGCACCAGAAATGTTAGCATCTTAAAGCTCTTGATGACGGCATCTAAGCCCGAGGGGATGCATTACAATCTTTCAGAATGGGGAAAAGAAAATCTGGGAACCACCAAATATTCTGCAGTTTGAGAAAGGAAGATGGGATCAGGGAAGAGTGCATGGCCATCCATGGAAACCTGAAGAACAGGACTAGGAGCTTAGGTGAGCCAGATCTGGCCCTGAGGTCCAACAACCTTGCTTTAGGCAAACATACCACTTGCTATTCATGAAGTTAAATGGTGGCAGGCTGGGAGCAGGCAATGTTAACCCACAACACATGGTGGCACATACCTTCTCTCCTGTGAAGAACATGGGAGTTAGTGATATTGGGCCCACCAGCATTTCTGCCTTCACTGAAATGGTTCAGGGTTGCTACTCAACAGCCAACTCCTGTAATCTCTGCATTTGAAAGAGGACACCAACACTGATTGGGTTCAGATAACATAACTCGCATTCAAGGGTGGAGTGTGGGTTGTTGTTGAAACATGGGTTACCATACTGTCTGAACCCAGCTGCACTAACAAGTCATGCTACAAACACCATGAAGAGAGCCTATCATTTGTTGCTGGGTTGTGAGCTGTGGGTTGCTCCACATGGTTATCTTGGTTGTGTTCAGACAACAAGATAACCCACATTTCAATGACAACCCATACTTGCTCATACACAACCCTTGGATGTGGATTATCATGTTATCTGAACCCTGTCAGACTTCTACAGCAGAATGGACTCTTTCCCTTAACAGGCCTTTGGGCGTGCTCCTGGGTTTCTCCTTTCTAGCTGAATAAAGATCACAGACCACAGAGAGAATACTGAAAGAACCAGACTGATGGAAGAAACTCACAAGCCACTTCATCCAAGGCTGTTACCACAAACCAGACAGCCTTCCGCTCAGCCATCTTCGCCCGCAGAGCAGTGATCTTGTCTTTCCAGCTGATTCCTGTGACATGCAATGAAAATTAAGAGCACAATCCAGTTGAATACTCTGGAGCTAAATGTAACAACGCATTGCTCTGTACTCCTAGGCGCCATTGACTTTTATTTAATGTGGAATGTGTAATAGATTTTATGCTCTTACAAATATTAAGAAAATATAATTTCTGTAGCTTTGTACTTCCCCATCTTCTTCCTTAGATCTCTAGCAAATACAAAACTGAACAAGACTGTCAGTTCATTCTCCACAATATACCAACAGACACAACTGGGACACTGCTCACCTGTGTAGCTCAGGTCCAACGTCATCAGGGGTTTGCAAGGCCGTTGCAGTTGATCCTCCCATATAGCATCAATCAGATTGTCTTTGACTGGCACCAGAGAATGGCCAGCACTTTTCAGAACTTTGGACATCCTCTTCCATTGATCTGAGAAAAACAAGGAGGATGCCTTAGACCAGTGATGGACAAACATCAGGCTTGCAGGATCTACTTTGTATTTTAACTACAGCCTGAACTTCAAGTAATCATGGTCAGGCCAGAAGTCAGCCACTTAGAATTAAGAATTATGCACAGCACACATTTAAAGTAACCATTTTAGCTGTTTAGATGTTTTAACAAATTTGCATAAGCTTTTGTGGGTTACAGCCTCACTTCATTGGATACTACATGAAATGGGAGAATTAAAGAATTCACTACCCTACAATTTGTTTTGAACACCAGAACTGAACACCGTTCACAGTCCTTCTATTCAAAAACCCATTCCCAAGCATTCTTCATTTCAGCAGCACACTTTGTCAAGTGGCAGAAGCCATTTTGTTGCTGCTGCTCATAAATATTTGGGAGCCCGAAATCCGGTCCTCTTACCCAGAGATCTGCCAGTAGATCCTGACCACCTGCAGCCCATTCCTGTCTAGGATGCTGCTGACAAGCCCAGCCTGCTAGTTATCCCTCTGGGACTCCTTAACTTGGGTCCCCGCAGATGTTTTGGACCCTTGGTTCCTTTCAGCCCTGACCAGCAGAGCAAGGTCAGTGATGATCGCCCCTACAGTCCAGAAGATGTGGAGGGACCCAGTCTGAGAAAGGCTGCTATAACCAGAACAAAACCCCAGCAGAAGTCTGAGTAATAATGTGCATGGTGTCGTCCAAACACACATGTAGAACAGCATCATTGCAGACAGTGTTGAGGAACTTATGTCTCTCCAGATGTCAAACTGCAATTCCCATCAGCCATTGGCAGCTAAGTCAAGAGCAAGGAGTGATGGGAGTTGCAATCCAATAGCATCTGGAAGATCGTATGCTCCTGATCCATTACAGTTATAAGCATGACAACTTTCCATGGGCAGGGGAGGAGTCTGATTATATCTCATAGTTTTGGAAAAGAAAACTGGAGATGAAAGGGCAGCTTGTGCTAAAGGCTTACAAACCACAGTAGGGATATAAAGTGGCGAAAGCATAGAAAATAGATTATATTGACTAAATATGGGGCAAACAAATTCCCCTTAACTTTCATTGATTATATCTGAACAAGCCATACACATCTGAAAATGGAGCTGCAAATTCATCTGCAAATGTAGCTGGCTAAGATGACTGAGTTAACTCCTTCCTGGTTACCAGGGCTACCTGGTGCCTCTCCTGAAAAGTATTCATTCATGTTGAGGATGATTTCAATCATCTTCCCCACCTCATCTACTGCGATATGGTGGTGAGTGGTTTTAATGCAATTTTTCCCTAGTGGTAAATATACAGGCTAAACAACAGAGGATTCCCTACATCAAGCAAGTCTTCACCAACCTGGTGCCCCTTCAGATATTTACTTACCACTTCCATCATGCCAGATAATTGGCCATGCTAACCAGGGCTGATTGGAGACATGATCCAAAACATCTGGAGAGCAGCAGGTTGGGGAAAGCCAGTCTGATCATTCACACAAACAAGAAAGCATAGGAATAAACTCACCTGCTGGAATAATAAATGGATCTACTCCAACTCTGGAAGCCTCTGGGAGTACACTTAAAAGCCAGTCCTCCTGTGTGGGGGTGTCTTTCAGACCTGAAACCCCAGAAGAAAGAGAACAATGATGAGTGAAAGAGATGAAAGCAGAGACTGTAAGAGTAAAGTGAAGGGTACAGGAGAGGCATTAGTTACTTTATCAACACTTCAGGGAAACATACTAAAACTCAAAGGTACTCTGCAGTGTCTGGCTTAAAATAAACTCATGTGGTAAGTGCAGTGAACTAACCGTAAAGAAAACTCTTGGAAAGGATGCTCTAAAACTATGACTTTTTACTAATCCACCTTTCACCCTCACAAATAATCTCTAATGGTGCAATTCTATGCATTTTTAGTGGGGAAAAAGAGTCCCACAACTTTAGGGATCACTGGGCAATGCTGAAATTCATAGAACCTTCTTCTGTCTACCCATGCATAGCAATGCACCCTAGATCTGCTCCTGAAGCTATAAAGCCAAACCAGATTTGCAGTGGGAATCTCTCACTCCAGCAAACAAGACCAATTTTCAGAAAAATAATAATCATTATTATTATTCTAAGCTTGGTACAATGCAGTGTCATCTATAACAATCTTCTCCAACCTTCCAGACATGTTTGGACTGCAATACCCAAAATTCCCAGTCAATGGCCCTGCTGGATAGGAATTCTGGGAGTTGAGGTCCAAATGCCTCTGAAGACCACCAGGTTGGGGACGGCTGGTCTAGAATAGTGCCACTGCAAACAGCTCTTTCTATGCCCTACTATTTTGTTTTGAAAAGAAGTCTATGACCAACCTGCTTCTAAACAGATCAATTTGTCTTATACAGAACCAGGGCATTGGACTAGATCAATATAATCTAGGCTGACTAGCAGTAACTCTTCAGGGTCTCAGATCTTTGCCAGATACTTGAGAGCAGGCCAACAAGATAAGAAGCACAACCACTAAAGTAACTGTACAGCTGAGAGGCGGTAATGAACTCCTGGCCTGGGCTCTCACATACCCATCTTCATGAGTGTCCAGTTGTTATCCATTTGTTGGGCAGCCTGGAGAAAATAGCGTCCATCTGTCCACATGGCCGCATCATTTTCTGTTATAATGGCAGTTCCTGAAACACGACATTGAAGAAAGGAAAGGTTATGACTCTACGTACAAATGGTTGGTGTTGTCATTGGAAGGAACACAAGAAATAAAACCATTAAGCAGATAGAAATTGTTTGCTTTAAGCATATCGGGTCAGACCTCTGGAATTCCTCTTGAAAAGACCTGTGCAGGAGGAAACCACCTGTTTGCCCCCTTATCCATTCAAAATCTGTTTGACAAAGAAGGGGAATAGTTCTCATCAACTGCAGTATCTGGAGTTGTTTTTGCTTCCTCTTTTCCATTGCAAACTGTTTCTTTGCTTTTACTAATACTCCCATCGGCCCCGGCCAGAACAGCCAAAGGTGAAAGGTGAGGGAAGCTGTAAGCCAAAACAACTAAAGGCCCAGAACTTGCCTACTCTACTGTGACACTAAAGTTCAACACCTTTCTGCCTTTCTGATCTCAGTAACCAGCTAACCATCCTGAGTCACATTAGGTATCAGACAGGACAGGCTTCTCAACCTGGTGCTTTCTAGATGAGTTAGACTATCATTCCCATAATTTCCAGCCATCTTGGAATTATGAGTCTTACATTCCAACACATCCGGAAGGCATCAGGTTGGGGAAGGCTAAACTATACTCATAGTAATGCAGACTTGATTCAAGCATCATAAGAACAAACCATGAGCCATTGTTGGATTGACTCTGGGCTGTTTCCCCACTAAGCAACCCAGAGTTCCTGGCTTCAGACATGACAGTAACGAATTAGAAACACTCCACTGTTTTTGGTTGAAAGCAGATGTGATGAGCACACACAAAGCAATGTGTCTGCTTGATGCTGCTCAGCCCCAAATTTCCTTGGTTAAACAATCCAATTGTCATGATATGTACCTTCATGGCCCAGTTTTCTGACTAGGAACACAAAAGCTATTACATAACTCTCCTGTAACTAATATATCGAGTGTTACAATAGGTTTTACTGCAGGCTTCTTTCACCCTTGTATGAGAACATTTGTTACTAGGTTAAAAGGCCTCGGCAATTATAGGCAGCCTAGAAATACGAACAAACAAATAAATGGTTTTATTTCTCTCATCCCCAAAAAATTAAAGCACAAAGATTTGTTTCATTATGCTTTTTATGTTGAGGAGTAGGAGTTACTATTCTAAACACGCTAACACTACTAACTTGTGTTTACCCTGTATTTTTAATTATTCAGATAATTCAATAACCTTAATTTAAACCTTTAGTTTCTTAATGTTCAATAACGAAAGAGAAAAATGTGCAGTGGCCATTGCACGTGCACCCATTGCAGCAGCAAAATATTATGATACACAGACCAGGAAACAAAGGATCCAATCAAGAGAATCCAAGTGGTCAAGGGAGACAAAATGAGAATAAGAAACAACAACATGATTGCTCAGCAAAACAAGAGCACATGCTATTTGGAGACTTCAGAGCAGGTCCATACCATTAAAGCATGGGGACTAGTCAGAAACTTTGGCTCTTTGTAGTCTAGGTACCTTTACCTGGGCCAGGCTGCTTGCTAACCCATGTTTTACATTAAGAGGCAAAAAGGGCTCTATTTAGATAAACTTTGTATTGGAAAACTCCGTATTTTTGGATGCGCACATTCTTTCAAATTATCTACCCATTTCTTAGAATTTAAAGCATGGTAAATACAAATTATCTTCTTTTCCCTAAAATACTACTATTGTAACACTGCAAAGATAAAAACCTACTTTCTGTAATGAAATGGACTGAAGATCTAATGATCCTGTCAATATTTGAGCCGAAAACATAGATGCTTCTTTAGAATAGAGTTATACATGGATATTTGGTTTGCCTTTACTGAAGCAAATGCATAATGGATGCATTTAAATTCATATGAAGTTATAGCCTCTTATTTCCTTCAGATTTTGCTCTGTTTCAGTGAAAATTGCAATAAAGATGACGATTCCACAGAACAGGTAACTTGACAATCCTTGCATTGCTTTCAGAGAGTGGCACAGCCTACAATGAAATCCAGATCTCATGGCTGCCTTTCAATGCTTGAAGCCACAGGACTTGCTGCCAAACAGAACATGCTGTTCTCATGTAAGATAAGCAAGGGTTTTTACTGCACACACAAACACACAATCACTCAGGATTTCAGTGCCCAGACATTTCAGCTACAAAAAGATAATTTTTAAGAAGACTGAACTTGGCTAAACCAACATTGTTTACTGTGAATCTCCCAACAGCCTGACTACAAGCAATCTGTTTTGATTGGCCTCACTGAGGGAAGAGAAAAGAAAGCTGCAGTTGCTGTATGAAATGGTTAACAGGATTTTTACTTTATTGAAGGGTCATCTGGGGGTTGACAAAAGCTCATTACTACAGTGGTATTACATCACCATTCCAGCTGGTGCAGATGCTGAAAAAGGAAGGGACAATTCAGACCTTTCTTTTTCTACACAGCATGCAAATTGCAAAACAAAACAGTTTTCCAGAAGTGACCTAAGCAAACTTTCTCTCTCTCTCACACACACACACCCACCCAGAATGAGAGAGAAAGACAGAGAGCAAAACAGCAGCAAAATTCATTAGAAATGTTGCTATGTTTCAAAGAGCAAAGAAAGTATTATTAAATATACTAAATGTGGTTTAGCCATCTATCTATCCTATATGGAGGAGTCAGACTTCAGTCCCTTAAAAGGGAATGTTCAGCAGTGGTCAGGATGTTTAAATTGCTATCTTGCATTCCCCAGTATATAAAAACTTAAGAAAGCAGATTTTTGGCTTGTATCTCTCCCTGAAGATTTTTTTTTAAAGCTAAAAACTGAATCCTACTCAAATTTACCTAGGAGTAAGTCCCACTGAAGTCAATTTACTTCTGAGTGGCTCAGCAGATGTTTGGCTTATAGATCCCATCAATCCTAACCAGTATTACTCATGACAAAGGATGAAGGAAGTTGAAGGCCAAGACACCAAGAAGGCTACAAGATGCATACCATATTTCTAAGCAGACACATACAGAATTGCACAAACCTATGTGCACTCATTTAGGTTTAAGCACCAATGGACATAATGGGCCTTATTTTGAGCAATTTTGATTTTGCATTAAGTTGCAAGTGAGAAAAGAAAGAAAACCACTTTGGAACTGGCCAAACCAGAGCTGTGCATGCAGACGCAACAGAATGGCTTTGAACAACATTTGTCCATACAGGCTCACATTTTCAAAGTGCATGCTAGCATATAGTACCATAATAAGTTTACCTGACTGATTAATCAAAATTAATAGAATACAGGTGTCTTAAAAGCAGATCCCGCCAACTTGCTTAGAGGTGAATTCAAGGTAGCAGAATTGCTGATCTCAAATTCTTCTGGGGAGTTTGGGGACACAGAAATAATAAAAAGTAGGCTATCAGTTGCAAGGTACAGCTTATTTTCCTATGTGTAAACTCAGTCATTAAAAGTTAAAACCCAATGAGAAGTAGGCTCCCCCGATTCATTTGTTCTTGGGATGTATCTTCAGACAGGAGGCAGAGGATCAAAATGGAATGCTACTGACATAACTTCCTGAAGTAGATTCTGTTTCCTGCTTGCTGTATTACAATGGAAATGACTTGACTTGATAAATAACCCTTGTGTGATTATACCAGCCTTCAACTTGTTACTCTCCAGGTTTTCTGGGACTTCAAATCCCATTGGCCCAATCCGGCATGGTCAGGAATACTGAATGTTGAAGTCCAAAGCAGCTGGAGAACACCAGGTTATGGCAAACTGGGGTAAATGCAAAGAGCACTGAAATGATCGCCCACTTGCAGACTGAGATGGTACCAATCCCAAAAAGCATACGCAGTTTCTGCTCAATGTTTCAGCTCTAATGGGTATATTTGTAAGCAAAGCCCTGCAAGTTTCTAGATATACAGAGATAACCTCCATGCATAAAGAAACAAAAGTGCTGAAACAGCCATATCGAGACTTGATATAAAACAAAATAAAGGTGTACAGCAGTTTGACAAGACTCTGCAGTTATAGGAGGAAACAGAAAAGTTTATTTTAGGGGCCTTGATCACCTGAATAGGAAATTGGTGTTTAAAGCTTAAGTAGTGTCAGATGTGATGAACCAAATACAGTTCCGAAAATGTACCTGCTGAGCCATCAAATCCACAGATGAATTCTCTTCGGCAGTCACAAGGTGCAATGTACTCACTCTGGGGAATAGATGATAAAAGGAAAAAGTGAGCTTACTGATGAGTGACACCAAGAAGCCATTGAAAATACCACACAGCACATAATGAAATCAGCTTAAATTTATTTATTTTAGTAATCTTGACATGTTCTCCATGAGAAGTTCTTAATATAATTAAGAATGCAGTTCTCCCACTCCAATGTTTAAAGCCCTATAATGGTTCTTGATTTGTTTATTTCAGTTTTATGGTATTTTTCCCTCCAACATTTTACCCAAGTACTTATGTTTATTTCACTCATGATCAGATCAACTAGCCAGCCAAACAAGCCAGGCCTTTGATGTGGCAACATGGATGGAAGATGTAATATGCAGTGTTTACAGTGTATAAATTTTGCTTGGTTTACAGTCATCCTCCAGCTGGGTTTTACAAGTAGTGTTTGAAACACATTTCCTAAAAGCTTCTCATTAAGAATCTCAGTTACGATTAACAAGCTGTTATGGCCTTTCCTATAAATAGTAGGCAAGGAGACCTAGAAACCTTCATTGGCCCATATACTATGTGCACCTCAAAATCTAATTTGCTAGAGCAAAACCTATCTTTAATAAAAGAAGCAGACACAGGGTAATGCAGATTCAGTACAAACACAATACTGGCTCCCTAAATGGTTTGCAAATAGTGGACAGCCTTGGAACATTCTGTGTCCTTTCTACTCTGATGAATGGCATGAATTCACCCTTCTCTTCTGTTGCAAGCCTTAACTATGTTCAGCGTGATATTTTTTTTTCAATACTAACCACAGTTAAAGCTAACTAGGCTTCCTCCTAAGCATGGTTCACAAACCAGTTTCAGACCCTGGTTTTGGTGGAAGCTCTGGTTAACATCAGTCATGGTTCACATTGGTACAGTTCTTATTTTCAATGCATGACGCAGTAACAGAAAATCATCAGCATCATTTTAGCCTCAGTTTTGCAGATTAAAAAAGATCAAACATTCAAAATCATAAGTGGATAAAATAGTGGCTTGCACTAACCTATTCTTGAACCTGCACTGGAAGAAAATCTGATAGATTGTTCATCCTTTTTACCTACTGAATTCGTTATCACATGCTTATCTCTCTTTTCCTCCAAGTACTTCAGGGTGACCTTCAATACCAGCCCCACCCTTTTATCCTAGCCCAAGATCTCTCAGTGAAATTCACAGCCAAAGCTGAAGTCTGAACTGGATCTCCCTAATCAAAACCAGATAACTTATAGCCACTTATATCATAATGCCTTTAATAAAAGCCTCTACTGGTATGACAAGAGTCATGGCTTAAAATCTGTAAATATGGGACAAGGGTTTGCTGGAGTCATGCTATGCAGCCAATCCAGTATGTACGTAACAAGCATGTTTTGTGTCCATTCAGCTGTCTGCACAGAAATAACTTGATAAACTTGCCCAGCAGGAAAAGCAAAATGAACCGTGTTTGCATTATTGCATTTCCCAAAGACACACAAAGAAATAAAGAAACCTGCAGCTAGAATTCACAGAAACATGTTAGAAGCCTAGCAAGTGCAACCAGACTTAGAGAGAAGCAGCCGCAGGCCAAAAGGAAAAAAGAGGAGCCTATATCAGCTGCAGAAGACAGGCGGGGGGAGGGGGGGACTATTTCAACTGAGAAAGTTTCCATGAGCATTTATACTGGCAAACTGAATCACTGTTGTTCTTTGCATACAACACTTTTGCATGGGTAGCAATGCTATGAAAAATAGCTTTTTATACTATGATAAGTGGAGTGCAAGCAAGTAGACCCCTTTGTAAGCTTTCTTTCCTGTACATGTTGCTCTTCATGGTTACCACAAAAATCAGAAGACGACGACTGGGTTCAGACAACAGGGTTGCATATCATCCAAACCTAATTCTGTTCCCCAGGAAGGTTTATAGACCACGCACGCTGCAATGGCTTGTCCTAGGGTTTAAATATTCCAGCATGGCTAGACCTGTAGGCTCAGCCCAAATAAGATGCAAAGCCATTGTCAAGGCAAAAAGTAAGACAGTCCCCTGACCAGAGCAGCAAAAACTCCATGCCACTCCAGTCAAGGGGCTCCTGTTGTTAACAGCTGGCAAAGCTGTCGCCTGCTTCTGATTCTTCTGGGCTCCTACCAATGTGAGAGGGAGAGTGGGGTTCCCTGTGAGCAAAGGCCAGGGGAATCTGCCAAGTTCCACAGTGCACTGCCTTCCCAGGCTCTGTTCAGACCAACCACTTGTTTTGCTTCCTCCCGAGATACCTCAACACTACCAGTCCCGTACTCCCTTCTTCCCAGGAGGTAAAGGGAAAAGCTGGGCAGGAGACATTCCATCCCAATGCCTGCCCCATGCACCTTCTCCTTTCCAATCAGGACTTGGGAAGAGACACAGGGCAGGCAACAGGTTGTCCTACGGCAGTTGTACAGTCGCCCCACATGGAACTTCCCAGCACAAGGTGGCTCTTCACTTCTCACCTATCCATCCAGGTAACACTGCTCCATAAGAGTAGGATTGCACATGATGGCTGCCCATAGTGTCAATATGGGGCATTGCCATCCTGCTCTCCTCAGTGCCCCTAAAGTCTCCTGAGATGCTGAAGGAGGACTGAAGAGGACAAAAGGGGAAGAGGCACACAAACCCCTGCTGTGCCTGATTATGTGTCAGGCACAGGAGAATTTTACCTACATGGCACAGGTAAAAAAAAACTCAGAGGAGTTAACATTCTGTGCAGACCTCGCCCTCTCCCAATGTGGGCTGGTAATCTCTCCCTTATGGGCCATCATGGCTTCATGTTCTAATTCAAAATCCTCCCAACTGAACACTGTACCATAAGCAAACTGTTTCATCTTGTTAAGGATTTGCAGCTGTGTGTTAAAACATGGCTGGTGAATGCTGCAAGTTGGAGGACTTTTTTCTGTCTAAGCATGCATTGGACTGCACCTTTAAGCTACAATATACTGGCATTTTTGGTATTGTGGCCCTACCCATCATTGGAAACCAGCCCTTCTCTCCCAAGATTTTGTCCAAAATTGAGTTTGGCCCTCAGGCTGTAAGAGTTTCAGCATCCCTGATATAAAGCCAGGCTTGGTTACAACCTGCTGTGTGGGCTCCCTTTTACTTTCTATAAATGAAACATTCCTCTTAAAAGAGCCATTCCATTTTCAAAGCCAGTGCAGTATTGCAGGGATGCAAGAGAACTAGATTCCACTCCTGCCTCAGCCATAAAGCTTACTGCTTCACTTTGGTCCAGTCACTCACTCACACTCAGCCTACCCTACCTCACAGAACTATTTTTGTGAGAGAAAAGGGAGATGAGACCTTGCAAGCCACCTTGAGTGCCTAAGAGAAGGAAGAAAGAGGCAATCTAAATTGCAATATGGTAACTGCATTAGGGGAAGGAATTCACCAAATCCCATACCTGATGTGCATCTCCTGAGGGAACAATGTATGCCTGGATTGCCTCTGAAACATATTTGGAGCTTCTCATTGCCTGCCGAAGCTGACGAAGCAGCTCTGTTGTCATCTTTGGAGTCATTTTCCTACCTATGATAAATAAAGATTAAAAGTTTAGTTATATCCTGATTTTGTACCCAAATATTTCAAATTCCAGAGAGAAATCCCAAGGTCTTCAACCAGACTCTGTAAATCAAATTGTTTGCTTGATCCATCTTTCTCATTACTCCTTATCCTACAGGGGACCTTGATATTGGGTATCTTAGTGACTATTTGCTTTCACGCTGGCTTCCATAAGAAGGACTTGCAGGTCCTGCATTTTGGCAAGAGATGGCTGTTGGATGGCAGATTGGAGGATGTACTGTGTGAGGGAAGTACTGGGAGATAAAGAGCAACAGATGCTTCGAGGCATGACGGATGAAGGGCAAGGACACAGAACAGGAAGGAAACCATTCACAAGCTGTGGCTTGTGCTTTTACTCATGAAGAATGTTCCTGGAGCTAGTTACAGCTTCTGATTTTCCATCTTACTGCAGCTTCTTGCCAGAAACAGCCAGTAGGTACTACAACCATTCAACTTTTCAATTGCTGTTTCCCCAGTGTTTTCATTTTTGGAGTTTGGATCTGGCTACCCCAGCTTTCTCACATACCATCTTCCGGAATTCAAGGAAATGTGATGTAGGGAGCAGAGTGTTAGACAAGGACTGGTGAAACCCAGGTTCAAATCCCCATTCAGCTATAAAATTCACTGAGAAACCTTGATCCAGTCACCATTACTCATTCTAAATTTCCTCACAGGATGTTAAGATAAAATGAGAAGTGGGAAAAAGACTTAATGTGGCTCTGAGTTCCTTGGAGAACAGCAGATATAAACGCCATACATAAATATTTAACTTATTTCATTTATTGAAACTGTTCAGGGGTGAGCACCTAGTAGACCAAAATATCTGGAGGGCTGCAAGTTGCTTTAAATGAAAGTAAGAAATTCCATAGAATTTTTTAGGCCACAGACATTAAAACAATGTAATTTTGCTTTCCCCTAGAGGTACACCAACTTGAAGCACAGGATGGAGACTGCCCAATGCTTCTGCATTCACCCTCTGCACCAAAGAGGTTATATTCCATAGTATCCGTGACACACAGTAAGTAAACTTCTAAAACTGAGAAGTTATTCTCTTTGTTGTTTGAAACAGGTAAAGCCTTGGCGAGAGAGATTACCACAAGCTTTCACAGGTATAAATGGCTAAGAAAGGGAAGTAAAAGCTACTTTGGTAACTCAATCATCACAGATCATGGAAACCCGCCAGGCTGCCATCTTACTGGAACCCACATTAAGAAATTAAATGTATAGCCCTGTGCATATCTACTGAGTTCAATGAATATTATTCCTAGGTGAATAAATAAAAGACTTTCAAAATTTACCTGAACAAACTCCTGTCTTGTTCCTGTGTTTTCCTGTGTTCAAGTTTTTGGAAACAGTTTAATGACACAAAGTTCTGTTCCAACTAATATGTGCCCTTAAGCAGCAGTAACCAAACCTTTGCCCAGAAACAGTAACAATGGGATATAGCTGTCTTGTTGTAGTGTTGCAAACTTCCAGTCTGGAAATTGCAAGCTTCCTCTTTGGGTTCTTTACTTCATAAAGCATACACTAAGGGCAAAATCTTACACATGTTTATATAATGTCCTCTAACTTCCAACACTGGAAAAACCCAGGAATGCTGGCAGTGTTTTCTGTCTAAGCATGCCTAGGATTGTGCCTTAAGTCTGTTATATCACAATTGCAGGGGAAAAAATCATATTGCAGCGGTGCTTTCTTTGTGACCCCTCTTAGGTCAGGCTGTGACCTTTGTGGGGCTACTATGGTCACTTTTTATAAATAATCCTTCCACATGAATAATTCAAGAATATAATCAGGAGGTTTTGGCAGCAATTGTGCATTCCTCAACAACTTCACTGCTTGGAAAACTGATGCCATAGTGGACAATTCCAGTACGCAAGAGAGGAGATAGAATATCTGCTATACACAATTATGCTGACACATCATTATATTAACTGGAGGCCTCATCTGCATGATTAATACGGCATTCACAAAGGATGGTAAACGTGCTTTCAGATATATCAGTTTTTCCCATCCCAGTGCTCTCTAGACAGGATGGTGTGCAGCTCCCATAATTCCCCTGGTGATGCTGGCTGTGAATTATGGGAGCTACAGATCAACACATCTGAAGGGCAAAGGGTTTGAAAAGCCTGATATACAGCAATTAAACATCTGAAGCAAAGGGGAGCTAAATATGTATATTAAATTCAGATTGCCATGAATTAACTACCAAGTTGCTGAGTTTCAGTCAGTAAGAAGCAGCAGCCAGAAGATCCTTCTTCTAATTGGGAAAGAAAAACATTTGGTCAGAGTAACCATATTTCAAAAAGGTCAACGTTTCCGTCCCTCCAGAACACTGCTGCATTCAGCAAGTGTTTACTCCAACAGTGCAATAAGAGAAATTGAGTCAGTAGAAAAATTTTCTTCCCCAGATCACTTAGAGAAATATATGACTGTCTGGAATACAACCACATCCTGAGGATTCCCATTTGCTGTCTCCCCTCCCAGGATCCCATTCAAATATTCAGCTATGCACTGAAATCATAAGGCCAGCTGAAGCCACTGACATTCAATAGTTGATGGATATGCCTGCCAGTCACCACACCAACACCTACTATGGGTATTGATTGGCTATTGAAGTACAAAGTGCCTCCAGCAGACAAAAAACAATATAAAACATGGCGTATGCTTTATACTAACCGAACCTCAGCAAGAAAATAGCACATTGCCAATAAATGTGACTAAAACACAGTTTCAGGACAAAGCTGTCTGTCTCCTTTTGGCTGGAAAGGAGAGCTAGGATGCAATCCTTTGCATGTTTAGACCAAAAAAAAAAGTCCTTAACTTCCAGCACTTCCAAGCCAGCAAGGCTGGGTGGGGAACGCTGGAAGTTGTAGGATTCTTTTCTGTCTCAACACACACATGACTGTGTCCTTAAAAATCAGATTTAAGTATCATACTTTGGAACAATGATTGAACAAGCAATCTCTGGGACAACTTGGTAACATATAAACATATTACAAAGCTAAAGTGGAGGGGGAGGGAGAGCGACATTGTAATAGTGCACAAACAACTCATTTGTCCTAACTTTTGTGGAAAGTTTTGAAGCAGTTTTGAATCAGGGAAATTATTCCATTAAAACTCAAGGGTAAATGCCCTCAGACTACATAGAAGTCTTGACAGCTAATATATTCATTTGCCAGATTTCAGAAATAAGTTATAAGCCTATCTATGAAGTAGCTTGTTTTTAAAGGCAAACTGGATATGATATTCAAGGTCCATGATGTGAGCTTCTATGGGTTTATCCCCCCAAATGTACATTCAATCATACAGTGGGTGAAGGGCAGAATGGAATAGTGGCTTCAGTACAGGGAAAGTGGATTAAATCTTCCATACACACATTTTTCCCACTCGTATGCTTTCTCCCAAGGGACAAAGAACTTTGGACAGGGCAATTCAGATCAGAAAATGCTCCTTTCCTCCTGCACTTAGACCCCAATGCAATTTTTGCCACCTGCATTAGGCAGTTTCTACTCCCATGTCACTCATCTAACCAGACCCCAAGTTTGCTCATTTGTACAGTATTTCTGTGAAACACTATTTTGTCTTTTGTCTCCAAACATCCTAAAATGTCACTGATAGGCAAAACTGCACTTTTATCCTCACAGTTTGAAAGCAGCTCCTTATAATTGCAAAGGGAATATTTTACTGTCAAAGCCCCCTTAGCATGTTTTTAAAAGCCACTCCAACAATGGGAAATAGATACTTTTGTCTTTTTTAAAGATTAGAACTCTAGACTTCTAACAGGATTTTATATGCCTCAGTGCCTATAAGTAATTCTTCCACTTTTCTGCTCAATTCAACAAGAATTCAGATTTATTCCCTACTATAGTTTTAATGCTAAGCACTCTTACAGGAAAAGGAGATCCACTGAGCTCAGGTAAATTTATCTTACAGTAAACACACTGAGAATAAAGTTGTAACAGTTTCACTTTTCTCACAGCAAAGAACCATTTAAAAAAACCTCCAACTTATTCACTTTCATCTCCATTACAGCTTCCTGTATATTCTCTGCCTCCTCCAGCCGACTTCTGCCTTGAGAGAAACCGACCGGGGTGAACTCAAACTGCCTGTCTCCAAGCTTGTGACACAGCATTATTCAATCTGTAGCAAATGGATGCTCTTTTTTTCTTCCTTCCATTTGCCTTGGGTGGTCATTTGGTCCAACGCCACTGTGTTCCCATGGGTACCAATTGCCTCCTACACTTCAAGAGCACTAATTATAAGCAGGCAGCAAGTTTACTTCCCCTGCTATCAAGCAAAGCTAAATTTAAACCAAATTTCCTATCAGTGCACAAGGCAGGTTAAGCAACTTCTCTCTGTGCCTCCAAAACCATGATTCCCCATTACCTGTCCTTTGTAGTCTTCCCTCCTCCGAATCCTAGATCTCCCAAGCCTTGGACAGCACACATGCAGTCCTGCATTTATATCGTTCCTTATTAACTTGGCAGCGCCTGACAAAGCAAAGGGCAAAACTTCAAAGGTACAGAGACTTTGCCCAAAGTAACCTCTCTCTTCTCACAATGGCTAATTGCAAGTAATGATTGCTGTCCAGATAGAATTGTGCCATTCACAACAGCAGGACTAAAGGCAGTGTGCTCCAGCAGAGAAGGGACTGGACTTGGGACTGGCTTCAAAGCACTCCTCAGGCATATCCTAAAGGAACTAACTTTCTTTCTTGTGATGCACTGTCTACTTTCTCATTACATTTTTATTCCTTCCTCCATGGAGCTACAGGCTACAAGCTCCAAACAGACATTTCACCCTCATAAGCAGCTGCTTTAATTAGACCATTGGACCATCTATCTCAGTATTGGCTACACTGACAGGCAGTAATTTTCCAGAGTTTCAGACATGAAACTCTCTCAGAGTGAAGACTCACCATGGAAGCCTCTGCATGCAAAGTATGTGCTTGAGCATTGAGCTATACAGCTTTTATTCGCACAATAGCTTTGTGATGTTGTTGTTGTTGTCAATTGCAAAGTCATGTCCGACCCATCGCGACCCCATGGACAACATTCCTCCAGGCCTTCCTGTCCTCCACCATCCCCCGGAGTCCACTCAAGCTCACACCAACAGCTGCAGTGACTCCATCTAGCCACCTCATCCTCTGCGTTCCCTTCTTCTTTTGCCATCTATTGTTCCCAGCATTAGGCTCTTCTCCAGGGACTCCTTCCTTCTCATTAGGTGGCCAAAGTATTTGAGTTTCATCTTCAGTATCTGGCCTTCTAAAGAGCAGTCAGGGTTGATCTCCTCTAGGACTGACTGGTTTGTGATGTAGGGAAAGCTAAAAGAAAATTGATGGGCCCAGGTTTACCAAGTAAGTTTCACAGTTAAAGGGGGACAAGCCTAAATTTCCCTAAATAAGTAGTCAATCCATGGCACTCTGTTTATGATTTGGTTTTGGTTTTTGTTTTGCTTATTTTATTTTATTTTGGCCTACAACCGCCATCAGCCTTCACCTTTGGCTAAACTAGCTGAAAGAAGCTGGGAGCTAAAACATCTGGAAGGAGCCAAATTGCCGGTACTACTCTAATTATTGTGATACAAGATGTCTATACTAATTTAGCTTATATAATATTTATTATACCATTTTTTGTTAAAAATAATAAAAGTGACTTGCAACAAAATTTAATGAAACCAAGAGAGAAAGATCACATAATCCAGTAAAAACATAAAACAATACTATGTTAGAATAAAGAGCAACTAAAAAGAACACATTAATATTAGTCACTTATTTACTTACTGCATACTGCTCTTCAATGTGGTTTGCAGCATAAACACTAATAAACATTTGAAAGTTTAGAAAACAAAATAAAACAGTATGTGCAAAAGTTCATTAATAGAGATAAACAATGTACAGAAATGGGCAGCCAAACTGATCACAGGTCTGGAACAATTGTAAATTATGAGGAAATTTACAATATTTTGGGCCTTTTTAGCTTGGAAAAAAGGCAAGTGAGGTGAGATATAACAGACATGCATAAAACCATGCATGGTATGAAGTGAGTTAAAAGGGATAAGTTTTTCTCCTTAAGACCAGAACCCAGTGTCATCCAATAAAGCTACATGGTAATTTAGGACTAACAAAAGGAACAGTTATACTAAGTAATTCATGGAGGATAAGGCGATCAACTAGTCACGTATTACCTTCATCATCATAAGCAGCTTGTCTTTCATTTTCAGTTTCTGGGAAATGTGAACAAGTGCATCCTGTTGTACTCATGTCCTATTTGTGGTCTTCCTACAGACATCTGGGAAGCCACTATGTGAACCAACTGCTAGACTAGATCAGACTGGTCAGATCTAGCGTGGTTCTTAAGTTATCAGACCAATGGAGGTTGATGACATGGCCTCTCCTCCCTTCCCTCAGGGGACCAGAGAAATTAGACTCACAACTAGCTTAAATCCAACTAATTTCAATAGTCTACTCTACATAAGATTAATGTTGACTTCTATCCCAACTCTTTAAAGTCAGCCCTTGGAAGATGAGCACTCATAAAATAAAAAGAATGTACAAAATATCATCTCTTTATATGTATTATGGTTGTTACATGAGTAGTATAGCAATGGGAGAGGCAAAGTGTCTGGCCATGAACATACAGTTCAGTCTTGTGTGTGTTTACTGACAAGAAATCCCACTATGCTCTATATGTCTTGCTCCCAGATAGGTAAGCACAGGATCTCAACCTGAGACATAAAACTGAAGCAGTTCCTTTCAACAGATAACCATTCTTTTAAAGTGGGATAAATGTTCACATTTCTGTTTCACAGAACTCTGAAAAGTACAGTATATGAAGATTTGAAGTTAAAAGTGCAGATTCAAGTCTTTTTCTTGTGAGAAGACTTTCTTAGGGTGCAATTCAATGCATGTGCAAATGGGGAGAAACCCCTACAACTCCCAATATTACTCAGCCAGCAAGCATAGGGAACAGTCCTATGCCAGTATTTTTCCAAACTGGGAGTTTACAGGCATCCTTTGAAGTGGGAGCAGAGAGAATTGCCTCTGTGTGTCCCCCCCCCCCCCAAATGTTTAGATGACCAATCTGGGCTGCCTAAATGCTTTTCTCCCTCCCTGTGATGAGGTGGGGTTGAGGCATCACCTGACTTGTTCCTTCCATGCCCCTAGACACCCTCCAGCATCTGTCCTGAAGATAGCCTTCAGATGCATTCATATCCAAGATCTTCCAAAAGTCGAAATTCTATGTACTATTTGTTAAAAAGAAATAAAACCCACTTATTATCAATAGCCTTTGCACAGAAATTTTCCTTAAAGATTTCTGATCTGAAGAATCCAAGCAAAATCAGACTGCACCAACTTAACATATTAATTGCTCATTAAAAAAAGTGTCTCCTTTGCTGTATATTACTCAAAGTGGTTTCGATTCCAGTAAAAATAAAATGGTATTTCCAAAAAGAATCTTATTTTTCATTCTCAGTGTGGTGTCAAATTTCTAAAGTTTCCCTAACAATTATATTGAAGTGAAACAGCAGATAGGAGAAGCATGATATAGGAAACTCCTTCGTATAGAGCCAGTATTAAATCCATAACTCTGTAAATGCCAGAAGCCTTTGCATATAAGCAGGAGATAAGCCACACTGAGCCTAGTGAGGTTGCCTTCTATATGAATAAACGGAAGACACACCACATGGGACTCTTGAATACATACATACACACACCAAGCTTTCTTAATAAAGGCGCTAAAGCTCCGCCATCTCTTTGCAATCTCGAAGAGCGGCAGCAGGTTTTATTCTATTTTCTATACATGGAAACCATTCATTAAACCGAACCCTTCGGTGCAGCTACTCTAGATGCGATTTATTGCGGGGTTGCCACTACACTGCATCCGCCTACCATTGTTTCGCCAGCCCCGCACAGAGCCCCACGTGGTGCTTTCTCCCCCACCACAGAAACCCGAGGCCGCCCCACGTGCTCCCCTCCACAGGCTCGCGTGAGCCGGGCGCCCCGCTTCTGCGAACAGGCTCCCAGCACAGGAAGCCTCTGCACGTCTCACCTGAGCCTCCCGCGCCCCGCTCGCGGCTCAGCGCTTCCCGGCGGCTGCCATGCACAGCTGACGTCCCAGCCCCCGTCAGCCACCGAGGCCGGGGAAGGGGCGGAGCCTGCGCAAAGCGACGAGCTCCCGAGAGCCTGCGGGTGACGTCACCGCGGCTTTCCTGCGGGCGCCCCGCCGAGCTGCAGGTTTCGCTTCCCAGGGAACGCGGCGCCGGAGCGCGGCCCCCTCCTAATCGCCGACGGTATAAATGGAGAAGGGAGCAGGGAGCCGAGAATGGGTAAAAGCCAGCGTATGCCCTATTAGAGTAGATTCGCTGAAATGAATGGGACTTAAGTTGGTCGTGATGAAGTCTTAATTTTAATTCATTAACATTAGCCCCCTATGTAGGGTGCTGCTCATTGAGCTTATGTGTATTTAATTAATTAATTCCGTTACCGCCCAACAGCAAAAGCTGTCTGGGTGGGTCACATACAAAATGCAATTGTCCATGGCCCAGTCTGGCTTACCCCAACCTAGTATCCTTCTGATGTTGGACTGGGCATCCAGAAGGCACCATGTTGGGGAACCCTGGATCATACTTTGCTACCTCTGCAAGATTCCTGTTTCTTTAATAGCTGTGTACTGAGCAACAACAAAGCTAGTGGAGGTGACAATATTCTAGTTGAGCTATTCAAAATCCTAAAAGATGATGCAGTAAAAGTGCTACACTCAATATGCCAGCAAATCTGGAAAACTCAACAGTGGCCACAGGATTGGAAAAGGTCAGTTTACATTCCAATCCCAAAGAAGGGCAATGCCAAAGAATGTTCAAACTACCACACCATTGCACTCATTTCACATTCTAGCAAAGTGATGCTCAAAATCCTACAAGCTAGGCTCCAGCAGTATGTGGACCGAGAACTACCAGAAGTATAGGCAGGATTTCGAAGAGACAGAGGAACTAGAGATCCAATTGCCAACATACGCTGGATCCTGGAGAAAGCTAGGGAGTTCCAGGAAAACATCTACTTCTGCTTCATTGACTATGCTAAAACCTTTGATTGTGTGGATCACAACAAATTGTGGCAAGTTCTTAAAGAGATGGGAGTACCAGACCATCTTACTTGTCTCTTGAGACACCTATATGCGGGTCGAGAAGCAACAGTGAGAACTGGACACGGAACCACTGATAGGTTCAAAATTGAGAAAGGAATTTGGCAAGACTGTATACTGTCGCCCTGCCTATTTAACTTATATGCAGAGCACATCATGAGAAAGGTGGGGCTAGATGAATCACCAGTTGGAATTAGGATTGCTGGGAGAAATATCAACAACCTCAGATATGCAGATGACACCACTCTCATGGCAGAAAGTGAAGAGGAACTAAAGAACCTCTTGATGTGGGTGAAGGAGAAGAGCACAAAAGTTGGCTTGAAGCTCAACATTAAGAAAACTAAGATCATGGCATCCGGTCCTCTCACTTCCTGGCAAATAGATGGGGAAGAAATGGAGGTGGTGACAGATTTTATTTTCCTGGGCTCCAAGATCACCACAGACGGGCACTGCAGCCCAGAAATTAAAAGACGCTCCTGGGGAGGAAAGCTATGGCAAATCTAGACAGCATACTAAAAAGCAGACATCACTGTGCCAACAAAAGTGCGTATGGTCAAGGCTATGGTTTTCCCAGTTGAAATGTATGGCTGTGAAAGCTGGACCATTAGGAAGGCTGAGCGCAAAAGGATTGAGGCCTTTGAATTGTGGTTCTGCGAGTCCCTTGGACAGCAAGGCGATCAAACTGGCCAGTCCTAGAGGAGATCAACCCTGACTGCTCTTTAGAAGGCCAGATACTGAAGATGAAACTCAAATACTTTGGCCACCTAATGAGAAGGAAGGACTCCCTGGAGAACAGCCTAATGCTGGGAACAATGGATGGCAAAAGGAGGGGACGGCAGAGGATGAGGTGGCTAGATGGAGTCACTGAAGCAGTTGGTGTGAGCTTGGGTGGACTTCGGGAGATGGTGGAGGACAGGAAGGCCTGGAGGAATGTTGTCCATGGGGTCGCGATGGGTCGGACACAACTTTGCGACTGTCAACAACAAACAGAGTTGAGTAAGCGTTTTCCCTGCCTGACCCTACATGCTGCCCTGGTTGAATTTCTGCCTGTTACCCTAAAATTAAAGTAGGGATATTTTTATACTGCCTCTCATAGTAGAATTAAAGTATAAATCCTTACTATTTCAAAAACAAGCGGTTTTATGTGGCACTATTTGCCCAGTAAAGTTATGTGGGATGGAACAGGGCAAAAATAGAAATGAGGCTCTTTAAATGGGACTGTGTGTTACAAGAGAAAGTGATTCAAGCAAACAATTTATTTGAGTTTTACCTGTTATAAAATGGTTGCATTTGTATTTCAGCAATGAGCTCTGGACACTGGGTGACAATTTATGTTTTTAATTATGCATACCCTGCTTTTCAATCATTCCAAAAGTGCCCCAGTGATATAAACTATAAAATTCACAATGTGATAAAAATAGCTTCTTGCCAAAAGCAAATAATGGGCTTTTCTGCAAGCTGCAGCTGAAGGGGGTGTGTCCTGAATGCCACAACTGAAGGGGAGCCGCCTGACCACTAGCAGCAACTGTCGGTAAGGAGATTCATTCTGGTTGCTGACTCCAAGCTGAGCAGATCAGAGGAAGTTTAATTTTCATTTAATTTGATTAAAACATTTATATGCCATCCTTGCAGCAGCCTCTGGGGTACATGCAGCCAAGCTTCCAGGAAGTACACAGGAGTCTTGCAGCAAAGTCCCTAACTTTTTTCAAATTTTCTTTACCATTTTACTTTTTTCATTTTTTTTCTTTCTACTTCCTTCACCTGCCCCCGCCCCCACCCCCTTGTTTTCTTCCCTGTAACGCACACTCGTTTACTGAAAGGACTGTGACTTAAACCTTCAGGGAAGACAGAATAAAGCACTAGTTGCTACGACGACAGGCTCAGCAAGCTAGAATCAAAAGGAAGAGTAGACCAAGAAGACCCCACAGTGGTGGTGACCTACATCATCTTCTCAATGTTTGCTTTCTTACCTGAGGTGAACATGGCCTACATGTGCAGCGTGCAGGCTAGAAGCCCTGCTAGAGGAAAAGGTGAGAGCACTAGAGGAAGGAAATAAAGGAAGAAATGTTCTTAGAAAGAGTGGTGGCTCTGTAACAGCTAGGAGCAGTACAGAAGCTAGAAGTGCAGCAGCAAGCTGAGGCAGAAGAGAATCCTGAGGGAAGGGAAAATGAGGAAACCCCCTGGAAAAGGGTAACAGTTACAGAAGATACTCTGTATGAGTAGAAGCAGTGGAACCCTTGAACTACGTTCAGTTACTCAAGAATGAGTCTGATGGACAGCCTGCTGTGGAAGAACTACAAGTCATCTCATGCAACACTGAACAAGAGACTAAAGGTAGCGACAATGATACCAAGTTTCAAGAAGGGTGTTAGTTGTGGAAGATGGAAACATGTTTATATCATGAAGACACATGGACTCATCAGGTATGCTGTCTCCCTGGAGCACAGATTAGCAATATAACTAAGATTGCCAAGGCTCATACAGCCTACTGACACTTATCTCTTCCTCCTTATATGTGTGGGAACAAATGACACTACCAAGCGGAGCTTTGAAGAAATTAAGCTTTAGAGAGGAAAGTCAAGACCTTTGTTTTTTCTTTAGTTCTTCCAGTTGGAAAAAGAAGAATGAACCAGGAAAGAAAATTCTACGAGTAGAACCAGTTGGAGCTGTGTTTCAGACTAGATGGCTCTTCTGACTCGCTCTCTTTCTATGAATGCCTGACTACGAAAGTGGTACCTACATGAGATATTTGGATTCTGGAACCACAGGATACACTTCCTGTGGAAGATGGACAAAAGATGGATTGTACCACACAGGACTGGAGAGAAGGTGTTCAGCCACAGCATGAAGAAGTTTATCTGGAGGGCTTTAAATTGAATCTTGCATGAGAGGGAAGAGTACACCTGGCCATAACATCAGGCAAAGACTTATACACCACAACAGATGGAGCAGCTTTAACAGTGCCCAATAATGCCCTTCCAAAAAAATGCAGGAAGAAAGCTAAAGTATAAAGGATGTGGTCTTCAGTGTCTATATACAAATGCCTGGAATATGGAAAAGAAACAGCATGAACTTGAATTCTTAATACAGGAGTGTGACTATGACCTGATAAGTATATCTGAAACTTGGTGGGATGACTCCCATGGCTTAATTCAAAAATTGAAGGCTCTAACCTGTGCAAGAAGAACAGAAGGAACAAAAAGGGAGCCAGGGTTGCACTGTGTTAAAGATACATATCTTTGTACCGAAATGCAGGAGGATGTGCTTAGCAGC